GGGGTGTGGGGGGGGGGGGGGGGGGGGGGGGGGGGGTTGCTCTGAAATGCAGCAAAGTGTCTATGGAGTCAGTGTGGTATGTTTTAATGTTTTCCATGGGACATTACCTCTGACAGTCTTATAAGACCTTAGCTTGCTTTGCTAACTAGCACAAATTTGACCCATTGAATTACTTGCTATATTAGTATATTTGGTGTATTATTCAGGTGTACAATATAAAAATTACCAGCAAACTGCACTTATTTGATTTTTTTTCCTTGGTTAAGGCTCCAAGGATTATTTTAATGGATAAATAACTAATTAAATTGATTTCTCTCTTGAAGTTCATGTACCTATTTAGATATTGTACTGAATGCTGTTATCAGAAGAAAAAATTGAGTTTAAAAAAAAAAAAAAAAAAAGTTGAGACCCTCATTAAAATATTGCCAGCCCAGTACTGGCTAATACAGGAATATTTTAAGCACCTGTACTTAAACACCCAAACAGTTTTGTTTTAATTTTGTATAATGGATCATCACAAAATATTGGACTTGCTAAATGGGATGCTTATAGTAAGAGCTAATTTGTATTGTGGTTTAAGATGCATCTAACTCAATAACATATGAACTATTTTATGTAACTATAACTAGGGGTATACCTAAATCACCGGGGGACTTACCAATTTTTGCAGGTTGATCACAGCATAAAGCTCTTATTCCATGGTTATTTTGTGGCAGCCCTGCCCATTAGTGCTGATTGGTAGACAGGCCCTGGGGGGGAGAAGGGGCAGCCACCATCTTGACTGCTGGTTGCCCTTCATGGACCCCCAGCCTTGGTGCTGATTTGGTGGAGAGGCCTGGGGGCAGGGTAGGAGAGGGCAGAAGTCATCTACTCTGCCCTTCATGCCACCCCGCCAGCCAGCACCCTCCCCTCTTTGCAGCGAGGATCAGCACTTTATTTTTATTAAGTTTTTTGTTGATTTTTTGCAGACAATCCCTAACTATAGCCACAGAAATATTTTTTCTTTTTGTTGGTTATAGTACTAGCCACTTGCCCTTTTACAAACTTCTTTATTATCAGAACTTATGTAGTTCTATAGAAGTTTTCTTGCGCTAACTTCTGAAGCAAATAAACAAGTAAATTGACCCTGAAAGATGTCATGGTCAGCTCAGTCACTAATGAGATGAGTGAAGGAATTTCTGCAGTCAGGATCCAACAGCAAGAATACCATACTTTTAATGCACTAGCATTTGGATTTGGGAGTTGTTGGCAGATATATTTTTGTGTGTGTTTAGCATACAATAATATACTTATAGTACACTAACTTATAGTTTGCAAGAATATATGTAAGTAAAATGTACAATACTCTCTAAAATGTTCTAATAAAATGTACGCTATTTCTAACATCCAGATATTTTATTTAATTTTTGCATTGCTGCTTTTTCAGGTGATACACCTTTTTATGCAGATTCTTTAGTTGGAACATATAGTAAAATTATGAACCATAAGAACTCTCTGACTTTCCCTGATGATAATGAGATTTCTAAAGAGGCAAAAAACCTGATTTGTGCCTTCTTAACTGACAGGTAAATGGCTTAAAGTTTTATTTAGAATACAGAATTAAAATAAGCTTTGGGGCATTTTTTTCTCACGTTAACAAGTAAAATGCATTTTGTGTATATGTGAGTTTCTGGTGGTATTCTAAAACAGTGGAGGCCAACCTTTGTGGCAGGCATGCCACAAATTAGTCCTACACCTTCCTCAAGTGTCACTGTCTGATCTCGTTTTTCCATGTCATCTACTGCTCCCTGTTCTGCCTTTTTTTCCTTCCCTGTGCTCCCTGCCTGATCTGCTGCTTTGCTGCCTGCCCATCCACAATATGCAGTGTGATAGACGCACACAGAGGCTCCCTGTGCCAGTTGGGGCACTCCTGCTCAAGTTGGCCATTCCTGTTCTGAAACATTTACTGGTATTAGATTACTGCTTGTGTACCTGACCATACTGTACTATAATTCTGTTGCCTTAAAGTTAGAGCATAATTCTGTCACAATTAAGGGGTCAGCAGCACTTTTTTATTCCCTTTCTGGTCTCTAAATATACTTTGTCAGACATACTAATATTTATTCTTCCTTTTTTCTCTTGCCATTTTCTGGGGAGGAATCTTACCACTCCCACTGTTAGAAGGGTACCTGCCTACTCTAGGTGGACAAGGTTCCTTGGGTAAATGTGATATCTTTTATTAGACCAACTAAATAGTTGGAACAATTGTTTTTTTGCAAGCTTTCAGGCACAAACAACACATTTATCCAAAGAACCTTGTCTGCCTATGTTTTTAGACCAATATGGCTATAACTAACACCCTTTGTAAATTCCATCTATGTTTTGCTTTAAAGACTGGATTGAATCTTGACTGGATTTTGATCTGTCTTTTTTTGGTTAATATGATATTGATTTATAATATTGGCCAAAGCCTTCTTAAAACATGGTGTTTGTATTTAAAAATTGGAAGACAGTTTGAGAGAGAGAAGGATTTAAAAGAATACCAACAACCTAAGCACATATTTAGTGTCATCTAATCTTACCATTTATCACCAGCTAAGTTTTGGCCTTGTTACACCTTAGGTAGGCAACCTTAGGTAGGCAACGCCTGGTATGGGTGCTAGTGTGGCACTCAAAGGCATTTTGGTTGGCGCATGTGCCTTGGGGAGGTTGACAGGGAAGGGACCAGGGCTGCACTACCACAACAAGTATCGGACCCGTTGTGGCTTTCCCGCCATCTGCCCCCGGCATGCGAACATCTTACAAGTTGAGGTTGTGGGTGGTTTTGGCACTCTGCCCAAAAAAGTTGCTGACCCCTGCCTTATACTGTAAGGTTCACAAATGTTAATCAACTTAGTGTTGTTCAGCTTAGTGGAGCAGTCATGCCTTAAGAGGAAAACCACCTCTGATGGACTGTCTTTCACATGCACCGCTGTGACTTGCTACTAGAGGCTTGGTGAGTAGGGGCAGGACTAGGAGCAGATCCAAACCAGATCCAGACCCAGCCACTTTGCCTAATGCCAGTGGGCCATCACAGAAAGACTGTTCATTAAGAACCATAGTTCCCTGACCCAGTTTATAACTCTAACCCTGATCCCTTTTGGAGCTCAGGTGGTGCCTGGTCAGTAGTGGCACAGGGGAGCTCTGGAGAAAAAAAGAATCAAGCCACTGGGGGTTCAGATGGTGCCCAGCTGGCTGTCAGCTTGCCCCTCCCCCCTGCATTGCCAGCAGCTGGGCTGCTGCTGCCTGACCTCCAAGGGGCCTGATCCTTTTTTTTTTTTTTTTTTTTTTTTCTTTTTTCCTTTGGAGCTGGTCCCCCTATGCTGCTGCTGGCTGGCCAGAGCTTGGGTGGTGCCCTGTTGGTGCCAGTGTGGGACGTACAGGCTCTGGAAAAAAAAGGAATGGGCCCCTTGGGACTTGGGCAGTGCCCAATCCTTTTTGCTCTGGAGCTTGTCCCCCCACCCTGGGGGTTAATACTCACTGCCCAACATCCCCAGGGTCTAGGTGCTGTGCCTGACCCTGGAGAAGTGACAGCTTTAACCTTTTCACAGCTGAATTGTCAGCAATGCTTGGCTGCTCTGCCAAAAGCTAAAGTTTACTGCTGTGAATAGGACTTCATGGGCAGATCTAGGATTTTGAAAGAAGCTAAAAACAGTCAGCAGAGCTGTGAAATGAAGGGGAGACCAGGAATAGCCAAGTTGCAATTTTAAAGAATTTGCAAAAAGAAAAATAGTTTGAGTAATGGAACATCACTCAAGAGCAATTAGCAAGAATCAAGTAGACTTCTAATAAGCTGTGAAGTCAGACTCTCTGTGCTACCTGTATAAAATGCCACTGCTGCTGTTCTGACCAGAACATAAGCTTCCTGACCTAACTTTGGATGACCAGTTTTGGGGGAGGAAACATGTGCAGTATGCAAGTAAATGTAGTAGTATTACTGATCACCGCCTTCTCAGATATTGGCTGTTTTTTTTCTAGTTGGTGAATATGGTGCCAGGTTTGGGTCTCAGGGACAGCTGTGATGCTCCCTGGTGCCCATGTAGTTCCTGCCCTGACCACTTCCAGTGGGCCCTCACTCCTTACACATCTGCCATGACTTAATATAGTTATTTTGAAAGGAGACCAGACCAAACTGAAACCAAAACATCAAACACAAGCCCTTCTGGCTGTAACAAGGCTAGCGCCCAACCCTGTTTCTTCATCAGCTGCTAGCCCTCAGCTTCCCTAACTGTCTCAGGGCCTAGCACGTTTGCAGTTTACTCCTCAGTTACAGGCACCTCTGGAGAGCTCTTCTGTGCTCAGCCTCTGCGGCCAGACTGCCTGCCTTGTCTCTCCCAGGGCCCTGCCTCCTTCTGGGCAGATGACTCCCCTAGCTTGCTTGTAGGTACTAGCTAATTAATCTCTTCAATTCATCTCTGTGGCAGCCTGGTCCCAGGTACACCCTGCTTGCCCCACAAAGCTCTCCCTGGGATGCTTCTCTCTCAACCTGACAGAGCACCCCAGGCTCTCTGTCACAAATACCATGTACACTGTAAATAACTGCAGACTTAATTGTCTTACTGCCTACACCAAAACTGTTGACTTCAGTGGGGTTGCACCCGAGTTACACCTTGAGAATCTAATTAGCTCATATTTCCTAAATTACAGGATTTTTTTTTTTACTACGCAGTTAAATTGGCATGACCCACCCCTCCTTTGTGGACAGTCTAATTGCAGTTTCAGAGTACTTTTGGAACTTAGTATATATTTTTTTGGTTTGTGATTTAAGCCAAATGAAAAAAGAGACATGCTAATTACAGTGGAACCCACACCATTTGTATTGGAGTCATTTGCAGTCTACTTAAAATGCAGTTGGCTATTGAACTAAGGATAAGTTACAAAGCTATTTGCCATGGCTTCTGCTTCAAAGGGCACTGCTCTAAAGAGCTGGGGGACCTAAGCAATCCCATAAAATTGTTTGGTATGTCTCTAAATACACCGCTTAATTCCCAAACTCTCATCTTCACAAGAGACTAAGCATTCAAACTTTGCAATGTATCCGGGCTCTACAGTACTTTTAATTAAGTGTGTAGAGTGAGAGTATCCACACTGGAGAAGGGAGTGTGTGTGTATGTGTTTATAAGTATAGCTTATGTGGCATTTCTGGTTTTAGGCTGCATAGAAGACTCTTAAACCAGATTGAAGTCTAGGATTAAGGTAGTTCTGGTCTAATACATTCTACATCGCCGTTTACAGACATTCATTTTCTGTGTTGTCCTTAGTTTTAAGATGTTAAAAAACATGAGTTGACATTTAAACTATTCTTACAAAAGGAGAGGAAATATTTAATGTGGTATATCATACTTTTTCTTTGTAGGGAAGTGAGGCTGGGACGAAATGGCGTAGAAGAAATTAAAAGACACCTCTTCTTCAAAAATGATCAGTGGGCTTGGGAAACTCTTAGAGACAGTAAGTAATTCCTTGTACAGAAGCACTCATATTAATTTGTTATATCAAAAAAGGTCAATCATCCGTTTGTTAACGGGAGGATCTCCGGCTCTTAAATGTTGAATTTTATTATTTTTCATGTTGTTTTCTCAGTGGTGAGATTTCCGACACACCTTAGCTGCTTTCAGTTCATTTTTTAAGTTTAACAAGTACAGAGACCACAATTTAAAACACTTGTTTGTCCTTCATTATTACAATAATTTCTCGCTACACTACTACAGTGCACATCAAAGTACAAAGCTGGATCTTTTTGGAGGGAAAATATTGTACAATAAACAGATTCTGTTCACCCAATATAATTGCCTCACTTGGGAGAGGATCAGAAGTCCTGTAGGAGAACAGAGATGAGTTCTGGGAGATCATTGAGCCAAATCAGTCATGACAGGGATCCTCATTTTCTCTGTTTAAAAATGCCAGGTTCTCTGACTTAAAAAAAATCCCAAATCCATGTTTTTCTGTGATTTAAAATGAAACACCACTATACATATATAGGTATCAGTTGAACACAATGTTTTATTGATATATTCACAATTTTAAAACAATTTGGAAGCCTACCAGTGCCTTGATCATTATAATAAAAAATTCTAAATACCTATATATTTCGGTGTTTGATTTTGGTTTTTTTATCGTGGCAAATCAGAGCTCTCCTTGCCCCCCTTTGCTCACCAGGATGCAAGTCCAGCTGCGGTTTTCACCACTGCTGCTTTTGTGGTGCTGAGCAGGCCTGCCCTGCCTCTGCCTATGCTGGTGACCTTCACTCCTGTTCCACAGTCCCTTGGCCCTGCTGGTACCCCTCACTCCCAATCCCCTGTCCTGCCCCAGTTCTGCCAGAGGGGGCCTCAGCTGCCAGGGGTATGGAACCTGGTGGTTAATGCAGCTGGAGTGGAGCATAGAGGACCCCTTCTTCTCTGCCATGAGAAGCATGGCTGGAGTGGAGCCCGTGGGGATGGAAGAGGATGTAGGCTGCCCGCTCAGGGCAGTTGTGCCCCCCCTGCTGCTGCTGACTGTGTTCACGGAGCACCATGCTTGCAAACACAAAGCCAAATCACAAATAGTGCATAACTGCTAAACTGTGGTTATATGGCATTTAGATGGATAAAGGAGAATAGGAATTAGGCCCCACACTCTTAGATTCAGACTTCGGAATGCTGGGAAATTCAGGGAAGAGCACAGATATCTTACCCTTCATGTCTTCGTGTGAAGAGTCATAGGATGCAGGTATGGCCTAAGTAGATATTACTGTTCGAAAGAATCCACTACAGTAGGATCCATGCTATGATGCATCAGAGAACCACATTTATTTTGGGGAGATTTAGGTACAGCTAGATACTCAAAATTGATCTGTTATGTAGCATGGCCAAAAGATACGTAATAAGGAAGCACAACAGTAGCTACATCTTCAGCAAAATTCTAGGTTATTTGTGGGCTCACAGAGCAAGAGGCAATGTTTTATATAATTTATAGTAAACGAGGCTACAGCAAGGTTGCATATAATGCTGTGACATTTGTTATGGCATTTCTTCTTTCAGAGTGCATAGTATGATTATATGAAACCTTGTTTTAAAAATTTGGTTTTTAATACAGTTCTCCAAAGTAAAGTTTTTTTTTTTTCTTGCAATATAGTAGCTGTACATGCATGTGATAAGTGAATCACCATTTTTTTAAAGCTCTCCAAATTAACAGAATATGTGTACTTGCACCTTGGGTCTCTGGAGAGGTTTCTGCTGCAGTAGAATTTAGATAAGCTAGGGGCTGCTCCAAACCCCCCACAAGTGGCAGTTCTGCAATGGACCTTGTGCTAGTTAGGGTTTGGGCAGCAGTAGTTGGCCAAGCAGGGCACTTAGCTCCTGGCACCTATTTAGAGCGGGGCACAAGAATGGCTGCTGAAGACCAGGGCACAGAAGTGTCTTGTTATGCCTCTGTTTGGTACAGTACTCATGGTCATACCTCCTTCAGGTTTTTGTGTTCATTTGCTTTTTTTTTTTATAACATCGGTTGAGCTAAGGCTGAGGGAGCAGAACAAGCATACTTGGTGCATGCAATCAGTATTGTGGCAAAAAAAGTTTGGTGCCCAGGGCAAAGCCCGCAGCAGCAGTCCACCCTCGCCCTGCACACAGGTCTGGGGGGCACATGCCCCCCATGCTTGCCCAGGAGTGCACGCAGTGTCCCTGCATCCCCCCCCACCCCCCCATGAGTTGCTTGCAGCTTTGTCCCATGCCCCGCCCCAGCTGGGCAGAGCCTATTGGTTCCCCTTCACTTCGGCACCCAGGACAGTTGTCCCGCTTGCCTCCCCTTGCTATGGCACTGCCTGCAATATACTGCTCAGATCAGTAACTCACTTATTTCATGAGAACTTTCTTTTATGACTGCTCTCTGCAGTTTTGTTAAACAGTCGCATGAACCAGAACATACAAACAATGATGGCTGTAATGATGGTGAAGAGTTTCCACTTGACTTGTCCATTTGTATTGCTGCAAGTTTTTTTTCATCCCTCACTTCCCTTTCTCTCTTGGCTTTTTATCCAGTCCATAGTTAATTTGATAAATTCATTTGAAGTGCTCATCTTACAAACATTACATAGCTCGCAAGCGAAATGCTTCAAATGCACAGAACACTATTGAGTCTCTAAGTATTCCCATGCATTACAAGCTGCAGGATCAGAACCTAAATTTATTTGGATGATCACTGTCACATTTGTCTAACTACTGACACGCACAACTCCATGTTTGTCAAGTCGCAGATTATTTTAAAGTAACATAACATTTATGGAATCCAAGTTTCCATAATAGAAGTGACAAGAATTGAATACAAATACTAGCCCCTATTTAATTTTTCTTACAGCTAGTTATATCATTTGATTGGAATGATAATTTTCTTTCTGTTTGTAGCTGTTGCACCAGTTGTGCCTGATTTAAGTAGTGACATTGACACTAGTAACTTTGATGATTTGGAAGAAGACAAGGGAGAGGAAGAAACATTCCCTATACCAAAAGCATTTGTTGGCAACCAGCTACCTTTTGTAGGATTTACATACTACAACAATCGCCAGTAAGTATGGAGAAAACTAGTATTTTGTACCGTCATCAGGTCTTGTATTGCTGATTTCTATTTATATATCCTTTGTATGAGATGGTGAGCCTTTTAAAATAAAGCCTTCTAGATGATTATAATTTGTGACATGCCCATGGCAACAATAGCTGCTGCTACTTAGACATTAGAGTCTTTGGACTCGTACAGAGACACTCAACCTCTGGCCCATGAGCCAGATGTCTCCTGCAACACCATGTCATCCAGCCTGTGGGGCTCCTTGCAGGTCAGGAAATGTGGGCAGGGGGAGAGGCGGTTACTACTCCCCTGCTGCAAGATCTCCAGACCAGTGCTCAGGGTCAGGCAGGGGTAGTGCCCCTGGCTCAAGGGGCAATCCTGGTTCATGGTGGTGGGGGCGTGGGGGCGGTTGCTGGGCCCGAAGCCCCAATCTAGCCTGCAGAGGGGCCACTCATCTGGACCAGTCTGGCCTACAAAATTCAAAGGTTGAGTACCACTGGACTAGTACAATAATTCTGTGAGAAGTTCTTAACTAAGTACATGCATAGTGTCAGTGTAATACTTAGGCTTTGAAAATGCACCTGATACATAATAACCCAAATTATAAACAAAGGATTAAAGTGTGTTTGTTTTTTTACATCAGGGTAGAGGTGAGGCCAAAACCATTGGGGGCCAGAGACTCCTTTGCAAACCCCACTCCTGTCCAGGCATGCTGTAGCGACCACCTTAGAGAGAGGAAGGTCCTACCAGTTGGTGCCAGGTTGAACTTTAATTCTATCCATCAGGATCCTTGCAGGCAATCCCTGTGGGGCAACACTGGTTTACAGGCAGCCCTGCTGCAGAAGGCAGGCTGCACCTTCTGCATTCCTGAAAATGCATTTGTATCTATTGCAAAAGTCTAATGGAGTGGGAGATGGTTCTTCTGTGGGCCTAGCACTTGAGATTGTTTTTCCTCCCATTGCCACAATGTACTGTCTTAACTGGTGGAGAGAAAAGAGAGAGAGTTGGCTTTCCAAGTCCAGAGGCAGTTGTGGCTGTACAGAGGTCCTGTTTTCAGCTCTTTCTCCTATGTTGTATTAATGGGAAGCTTATTATGTCCAATTCTTTTAATATTTCCCTTCAGGAACTCCTGTAAAGGAACCTCTTTGTGGCTCTGACAGAGACCAAACATGAGGCCCCCTCTGCCTTTCCTAATCTGGTGATCATTGTCTGTGCGCTGAGGGAAAGGGGTTCATTATATCCCTATGTAGTGTATACTTGTTGAGGACACACTCACAAAACACCTGCTTCTTGAGAACAGTTTTTGACCCTCATAGACAGGAACTATTGTATCCAGCAACCTGGTGACCTTTTATTTGGCTTTTTGCAATAGTAACATTTAGAAAGCCTCTGGTTTGCGTTTCCTGACAAAGGAGTGTCCTAAGTCCTAGTAAACTCTCCTAAATGCTTAAAGGCTGCTTCTCCTACCTGCTTTTTCTTATACTAAAAGTAAACAGGGTTCATAATTGCTCACTTTTGATGGAAGTGGTGGAAGGTCTTAAATGTGAAAGTTGCTTTTGATTTGAAAATCTGATACAGGTAAGTTAGGAAGATGTGGCTAAAAAAAAGTTTGCCCTGTTTCTGTTCTGCTTGCACTATGTTTATTTTAAGAAAATAGGGTGCAGTTTGTACCTTTTTTATTTACTTCCTTTAACAGTTATGTCCTTGCATCTCACACTTAATGCATGATTCACCCTTGAATTCCCGCTTTTTTTTTCTATACATAATACTGCCAAGTATTGTTAGGGATGTGATTCAATAGAGGGCAACAGAATCATGATTAACTGGGAGGTAGAATCCCGTGTCTGTGCAGGGGTTTGGACTAGATGACTCCTGAGGCACCTTCCAACCCTGTAAATCTGCGATTCTTTTTTTTTTTTTTTTTACACTGTCCACATACAAGTACATAGCACTGTTAGACTTCTATATAACTGGAGCTGATTTCTAATTACAGTAAAAGCCATGTTAACTGGCACTTCATTAACAAGCATGCTCTGTTAACTGGCATGCATTATGAGACCGTCCTTCCTCTTTCTGCCTTTAACTACACACCTTCAGCTTCTCCAGGACTTCTGTATGGTCCCTATCATCAGGGTGTCTTAGCCCTTACAATTGTTAATGTATTTTTCCTCACGACACCTTTGTGACAGAGAGAACTACGTATTATTTAACAAGTGAGGAACAGGGTGAGTCAGCGTGAGATTTGCAAAGGAGCTTAGGCACCCAAATTCAAAAGAGGAATTCAAATTGCCAAGTTAGGATTCATAAGTTCAGCTTCTACATGTTTTCAGACATGCTACCATATTAGGTGCTGAGACATTCAGACCAACCATCTCCCACCCTAAAGCTGTTTAGGTGCAAGGACACCTTGTTTGTGAACCCAAAAACCCTGAAGAGCCTGATCTAGTAAGTGTATTCTGAGGATTTCTAACAGGTGGACAGTACTGAGCTCAGCACTTGGAGCTTCTTTCATTCAGAAGCAAGACTGGAGAAGTAGGTTGTCATAACTATCCTTTGCATACCTGCACAATGATTGGAGCAGTTCCCAGACTAAGTGAGAGACTTGGGTTAAAGGCCTTTCTCATCCTGATGGGATTCAGGCCCGTCTATCGCACATCCAAAGAAAGTGCATTAACCACCAGACTTTAGGCGTCTTCTCTCCTTTTTCGAAGTTGAGGGACCATTGTTTAGAACGGAATGCAAAACTCATTCTCTTAGGAGAGCAAGCAGGAGGGACCATGACAACCTCAGTGAGGAGGGCTCTTTCTTGGGTAGAAGGTTTCCCTTCTGCTCCCAATGGTTTAATCATGATCTTTAATACAAAAGGAAAATTTCAGTCTAGATGGTAAGTTTTGTAGAGTCATAAGCCTTTAAAGATAGCCTGTTAAAATGTCAGGCAGCTTCAAATAGAGGTGCTACCAGCCCTGCCTATAATATGCAAGGCTTCTGGATTTTATCTTAAGCTGATAACAGGTAAAATGAAGAGTGCTGTCAACTTAACTTATTCTCCAAACTTCAGAGTTTCGCTTGATGTTGATCCAGCACATTTTAACACAGTAAAGTGGGACCGAATTGATAGTGGGAAATGCACAGCCAGGAAAATTCATGTTTGTTTGTTTGTTTTTTTTAAATTTGTTTTCAATTGGTTGAAATATTCAAAGGGATATTCAGTATCAAATGGAATTAAAAAATCTTTGTAATATACTTGTTTAGTAATATCCAGGCACAGGTCTGGGAGCTAGGAATAAAGTACTGTGTTTAATGCACAACATTGGAAACTATATCAATGAACATCTAGCAAAGATCAGTTTCCATAAGCTGTAATGCAGCAGTCTTCTCCCACCCTCCCTCCTTCCCCACCATGGCACTGTCACAGGACAGCCCAGGAAACTTTTTTTTTAAATTTAAGAATGCTAAATAAAAGCAACTTTATTAATAAAGAAGTGAATGAAGCATCAGCCTTGTCCTGCAGCACTATAAGGAAATAGATACTGCCTTGCAGAAACATTTTTTGTATTTGTGAGTGAGTTCTTTTCTCCCCATATCTGAGGCTCATTTGACTGTGAAGTTCAGATGATATGTAGATAGTCAAGGGTATTTTTCCGTGATTTTTGAGTGACATCATATATAGCAGAATCGGAGATTTAAGCCATCTCGGTACCCTCCTGATTTTTGGATTGCTTGAAGGAGCCAAAGTACACCTAGATGCGACTGACATCTTGGGAAGGCTGTCTTAATTGTGACAGCCTGTCATTGTCCACCTGTAGCTGGGAATGCTTGATGCTGTGTGCTGCAGTTCCATATTCAGCACATTCTTTCTATTTCCCAGTTCTATCTAGCCATTCTTCCTACACCAGGACTTGAAGGAGGTCCTCAGAAAATAGTATCAAGCTGCCTTTGTCAGTGCCCGCATTGGAAAGTGTGGGTTCCCTTCTTTCCCCATGGTGTAACATCTGGGACATTCTAGTCATGCAGTGCTTTGGCCTCTTACTTGGCCAGATGGGGTCAAAATGGGGTGAGAATCTCGCATCAGGCTTTTAAGACGGTCTGTCAACCTGTTCCATTTGTTAATGTGACTCTTCTCATGACCAATTAACACTTACATTTTTTTTGGTATATCTAAAATATACTATTTTATAAAACAGAAATACTGTCTTGGGGCCCCAGCACTGTAAGAACTTCACATATGGAATTTTATTAGGAGTTCCATGCATGCAACTTGTGCCAAGTTGATTTCATTAGTACTTCTCGTATGTGTATGTATTTTAATAAATAAATAAATGTTTATTATTTATCAGGGGATCAAGAGAATGTGACCATGGAAAGCAGAATTTTTTTTTATAACAGCTTAAGAAAAAAAAAATTCTTGGCAAAAAAAACCCATTTTCTTAGAGGAAGAGTGATTAAAAACTGTAGATTTCTATTTAACACTTGAAGACAAAAAGTACAATGAATTCCATGTTTGTTTTTTTCCAATTAAGTGTATTTCTATATCTAATAATGAATGAATAATAAATACTAAAATTCTGAATTTAGTGCTTTGGATCTGGATCTACAAAAACTTGTAATCTTGGCAATTGTTGTTAACTTGTTTACTCAGTTATCGCTCTCTTAAAATTTGTTTAAAGACAAGTTTATAGGAAAAAAATTACAATTTTTATACAGGTATTTGTCTCTTTTTTTAATACAGGTATTTGTCTGTCTCTGAAGAGAATTCCAATGATAACAGGGCAAGCTCCAATATGGATAAAAGTGTGGTATGTCTTCTGCAATCCTTTTTTTTGCAACTTAGAACAGATATGTTTTATACTTGATTATTGAACTAGTTTTAAATGACACTTGTTTTAGTATTTTGGAATATGGAAAAATTGGTACGTTTGTTTTAACTGTTCAGAATCTCATGGCTATTAGAGCAGGTCAGTTAACTGAATTTCACTTCTGCAAAATATGTTGAGGTTTTTGGGAGCCTTTTCCTAAATAGGGATGAAATGGCTAAAACCTCACAATTTCATGGGACAATTTTAAAAAAAATAATATAAACACTGAATATTTCTGCAGATGATTTATTAAATAAAATATATTTCCCAGTCTCCCTGGAGTATTAGATGCTTCTATCCTTATGGCATCTGGTATTGCAGTCTTTGAGGCAGCCCAGGCACTGGAGAGGCAGGAAGCCTAGGCTTTCTAGATTTCTACCTGTCAGATTGTTGAGGAACTTTGGAGCTAGGAAGCTGGGCAACTGAGTAGTTGGCCAATTTCAGGATTCCCTGCAACCTGCCAGATGGTGGCAAGTAGTCTTGGTGAGCTGGGAATCATGAACCTGGAAACCTATATATTCCCGGATGCTCCATCTCTGGCAGACTGTCTGGGAAGCTTCCTGATAAAATGGAAACCCTAGAAGCACCATTTTCATAGAAGGCCACCCAGCAATCTGCTAACGAGCTTAAGAGCTCAAGAGCCTCCATTTCCAAGCCATGCTCCCGAGGAGGTGAGCAAACAGACTTCAGACTTCTTTTGGAATTTCCAATAAAATTGACCCATTGCCATGGAATGTTTTTGTTTCAATGCATTGGCATTTTGCAATGGAAAAATTATGCTGTTGGAAATTTTCTTTCTTGCTCTGTAATTAGTTGTTGCTTGGCTTGGATGGAGCTGATGGAATACATGCCTTGGTTCTATTATTCTTTTGCTTTAGAGAAATTTGAGATGCAGGTAACAACTGTTAGAGTATTGCTTGTTAGATTGCAACAGTACTGAGAGTAAAGTAGATGCTTTTGAAAAAAGATGAGGATAACAGTTCTATCTTGGAGACTAGTCTAGTAAAAGGAAAAAAAATGTGCAACTGAACCTGTTCTGCTTGATGTTTATTTTTATAACTCTTATTATAAAGCTTGTGATGAAATACAGCATTCAAGTGTGCATTTTTTATTGATTTAAATCGGTAAGTATTAAATTGAAGGAACTGTAATCAATAGAAGCATAAATAATCAGTCTGTCATGTGATTTGTTGCATGTTATTTTTCCAACATTCGATTGTTAGATAATAAGACCTTAGGACCAGATTTCTTTAAAAGTACATAGGCACCTAAAAATTTAGATAAGCCCATAGTAAGATTTTTTGCAAGTGTCTTAGCAGGTTGGGCAATATCAGTGGTATTTGCTAGCTTTTGGTTAGGCACTTTTGAAAACATTGCTAGTTACCCAATAGCATGAAAGTCTCTTCCAAAAGTAAGAGTACCAATGCGTATGAAAGTTAATTAGAATGCAAGTTTGGTAATATAGAAGTGATTTAGATAGTGTTGAAATTAAAAAAATAAATAAAATCTACACTACGAGTAGTTTTTATCACACAACTTTCTTCTTAGCTGTTTTTCTTCTTCTGTTGCATGCAGTAATGAAAATGGTGATACTGGCCTTCATGGTTAGTTGAGTAATGTTAAATTTATATACTATAGGATGCTGCCTGAGGGTACAATTCTGCAAGATACTGGGTGCCAGAAGTTTCCAATAAACATAATTCCTTTTGGGGATGTTCAGGACTTTGCAGGGTCACATTCCAGAGAAAGGAGGAATCTGCTTTTATTTAATTCAGTGAGAAATTTATTTTGAAGTACAAATTTATTTTACTTTAACACTTATTAAAATCTGAAAGCTAAGACTCTAAAAGTTAGGAAGACTTGCCAATTCCTTTGCAGTGGGTCTTCGGCCTTTTCACAGCTCAGGTGGCAGAACTGTTGTTAAGTTAGTGTCAGGAGGAGCACGGTCTAGCCTCTAAACAGTGGTTCTTAACCTTTTTATACTCAAGTTACTGCTCAAAAAAACCAAACCAAAACAAAAAAACCCCCAGACCTTAGCTTTCACTCATTTTTTGATTATGGAAGAAGTAATAAAGCCATCCTTTTTTACAAAGAACTCAGAACACCACTACGGGGCCGAATGTTTTTGACATGACAGGATTCCTGTTTGAAATCTCTGGGTGTATGTTGCAATTGTGTAGCTGTTTGCGCACCTAATAGTGCTAATACTGTGTGGTACCTAGAATGTTGTGGCACCTGGGATGCCTTGGCACCCACCCTTATTGAGAATCACTGTTCTAAAGATTCAGAATGTAGATGATATGGTAAAGGCATAGACAGTCTGTGATGTAGAAAGTGCCTTTTACCATATAGACTTGGATATATGAACTACTGTGTTCACAGCCAGCTTGGCACATCTGCCTGGCACTGCATGGTCATAGACACCCCCCCCAGAGTTTTGTTCTGCCTTCTTTCCTGTAGCCAGGCTTCTTTATTCTCCCCAAGGTAAAACAGAAACTAGAAAACAAATACATAAAAATATTGGGGGAAAAATATTCTTTCACTTCAACTTACTGAATTTATTTGCTGCTATTTAGATTCAGATGATGCAGAACTCTCTGGAATCTAGTCTTCTCATAATCCATTCACTAGCAGCCAGCACAACATGCCTCTACAAGCCTCTCAGAAAGCAGCTGCATACAGGCAGCCAGAGGCACAAGAAATCTAGCAGAAGAGATGCAGCTCCAAAGGCTGTGTGTAGAAATACCTAGGTCATCATTCCCAGCTGTCATGGAGGGGTAGGCCTGCCATATTCCTGCTACCCGCTCAAATTCTTGTTTAAGGAGTCAGTCTGAACAGTCAAATTAATTAGTAACTCAGACATGGATAAGTAAGTGTGCAATAAGTTTTCTTTGCTTTGATTTGCTTCTATTCATCTTTTATGCCCTTTCTTATTAAGGTGTGGGACAATTCTCATGTGATACTGCTTTATTTTCTAACTCAAACAAAATGACTGCGTTTACAGGCTTCCCCTGTTGCTCCTTATTTCTGTCAAAGTTTGCTTTAGACACCAGCTGTAAGTGCTTTCTGATCATAAGAACCATAACTTTGAAGGGTTACACATGTTCTGCACCCAAGCTGCAGATGGGATTCACCCCTTGGTTTGTTTGCCAGAGTCGCTCTGATCTCAGGCTAGTGTTTTATTTTCTTGAGAAGATACTGGAGCTCTTCTTCCTTTCAAAGCTTAGCAGAGACTGGTAAAGAATAGGGCTGTACAAAATTTCGGCAGCTGCTTTTTTTCGAGGTGTTACAGGCCGTTTTGGCGCCTAAAACACCGAATCCGAAACTAAACGAGGATCTGAAATGTTTTGGAAATGTTTCAGAAAATTTTGGAGTTTTGGAACCGGGCTTGCAGGGAAGCAGCTGTATGCTGCAGCCCTGCCGCATGACTTGGCTCCATAGGGAGCAGAGATCAGTTCCGGGGGTCTCCTCGCTGCCACTGCCTGCCTTGCAGTGCCCTGGTGACATGGGGCTGCCCGGGGCAGGCAGCGGCGGTGAGGAGACCTCAGTGTGGATCTTCACATAAAGAACATAGTTTTGTATCTAACTGTAACAGATACAGGGGTTTCTTACTGCATCTCTGGTTATCTCTGTGCAGTATAAGGAATAGGAAGAGAGGGAAAAGGATGACACCGACAGGACAGGTTATCCTGATACTCAAGAAGAAAACTCCATCTTTATTTTTCCATTGGAATAGCACAGGAAGTCTAAAGGGTACTAGAAAGGAAGCAAGGAATTATTCCACTTAAAAGGCAAAAATTCTACCCTTATCTCTACCATTTAATATGGGTAAAGACTGTTGGATTACATTTGCTCAGTCATCAGAGTAAAGAACAGTTCCTGTAGGAAATGTGATCTTTTGGATATATTTCTTTTGAAGATCTGAGTTGGAACTGTGTAACTACCTCTGTGCTGCTCATTTGAGGGGAAAATAAAAGAATCAGTTAAAACTTAAGCATTTGAGGAGAGCGGTCAAAAAAGTTTTGTACTTTGAGTTAGTGTGGGTCCAATTTAGTGAGCCTTTCTTAGTCGGCTCAATTTTGTTTTTGCAAGTTAAGAACCAAGCCCACTTAAGGATAGGAAGTTTTGGGGTGTGTGCCCTACCTAAAGATGCAGCGGAAGGAAGATATTTAGGTGAGTTGATGCACTGAAACTGTTTCAGTAGCCTTCCAAATCTTATCAGTGTCTACCTGTTTACTTAAGACCATTTATATCTGGACACATTCCCCTTTATCCTGTATTCTTAAAATCTGGAAAATGTGGAAAGCCTGTGAGCATCAATGAAGAAATCTTTCCTTGGACCAGCCTTCATCTTGTAGTAGAAATTGGTTACTTTTCTGCAAGGTTAAGGGCTACAACCCAAGTATCCTTTCATTCCTTGCGACTTAGTCATGGCAGGCCAAGCAGAATGTGGTGGCCTTCAAGTATGCAGGAAATAAATTCTATGGAGATAAAACATGGGTATGGAGCCCTTGGAGAAATGAAAGATCACCTTGATTGTTAGATGAGTTTGGAAGAAGGGAAGTATAAATTCTCCTATTGTCACTATAATTTTATTCCTATTCTTTTTTAAGGTACTGTATGACAGTAAATAGGCATCTCCTTTCAAGTGTATCTGATCGTTGTCCCCAGGTTTGACCTGGATCAAAACGTATGGCAAAATCATTTATATGCATTGCCCTTTTTACGCTTCAAGGACACCAACAAGAGCACACAGCCTGGTTGACTTGTCCTAGGAATGACTGGGGTGAGGGGCAAAAGCTAGCACATTCTTCAGAAGGACTTGAAGCACAGCGGTGCACCTGTATGTCTGTAGGATCCCAGAACAAATGGTTTTCTTCTGGGACAAAAATGCAGTGTCTATTTACAAGCTGGAAGAGACACCCATGGTGATTGAAGGAGAGAAGAATATATTAAAAAGAAGCCATGACAGGGAAAATTTCTCAAGGAGAGCACCACCCTTGTTCAGGCTGTCAGAATTTGAATCATAGAATCATAGATTGTTAGGGTTGGAAAGGACTTCAGGAGGCCATCTAGTGATTCGAGTCCAACCTCCTGCTCAAAGCAGGACCATCCTCAACTAGATCATCCCAGCCAAAGCTTTGTCTAGCTGGGTTTTGAAAATCTCCATGGACGGAGTTTCCACCACCTTTCTGGATAACCTGTGCTAGTGTTTTACTACCCTCCTAGTAAGATAATTATTCCAAATATCTAACCTAAACTTCCCTTGCTGCAACTTGAGACCATCGCTCTTTGTTCCGTCATCTTCCACCACTGAGAAGAGCCTAGCTCCATCCTCTTTTGAACCACACTTCAGGTAGTTAAAGGCTGCTATTAAGTCTCCTCCAGTCTCTTCTTCCCTAGATGAAATAAGCCCAGTTCCCCCAGTCTTTCTTCATAAGTCATGTCCCCCAGTTCCCTCACCACTTTTGTTGCCCTCTGTTGGACTCGCTCCAATTTGTTCACATTTTTCTTGTAGTGGGGGACCCAAAACATAACACAGTACTCCAGATGTGGCCTCACCAGTACTGAATAGAAGGGAATAATCACTTCCCTTGACCTACTGGCAGCACACCTACCAATGCAGCCCAGTATGTCATTAGCCTTTTTGGCAGCTAGGGCGTGCTGCTGGCTCATTCAGCTTATTGTCCACTGTAACCCCCAGGTCCTTTTCTGCAGAGCTGTTGCCCAGCCAGTCAGCCCCCAGCCTGTACTGGTGCATGGGATTGTTCTGTCCTTAGTGCAGGACTTTGCATTTGTCCTTGTTGAATTAATTTCAATCCATTCCAGTACAAAGCAGAGGCATTTGTAGGTGGAATATTGAATACATCTGGGCATTCTGTTGCTTTGAAGGCAAGAATTCAGACACTAGATAACAAGCCACTGATTTTGACTACAGAGCCTGACTTAGGTGTTTTCAGATGATGATCATCATCCCTCCTACTGGTATTCTTCTTTGGGTAAAGCTATAAATCACAAGGAAAGTGATCCTTGACTGATGATCAAATGTATGTTTAGACATGGTCCTCCTGCGTTATGTGATAGGGAATGCTATTTCTTTCTAAAGAGGAGATTTATGTCACCCCAACTTAGTTCAGCCTAGAATAGGGGAAGTGTGTTGCTCAGACAGCAATTAATAATCCAAAATTCCTCTTTCTGTTTCCCAGATCTTGTTTAAGACAGAGCTGTACAGCTCTCTATTCTTACCTTCTTCAGGAAACCAGAATTCTTCCTGGAAATTCTCATGTCTCTTTGATTGATATGCTCTATCCTAATGGGGTTTTCTGTTCTCAGGTCTGAGAGAAGCCCCTTGCTTTACAATCAAGGGTGAGGCAGCAGGGGGTAGGCGGGTGCTGCTGCCTCACCGTTGATTGTAAAGTGAGGATCTTCCCTCCTCTCCCCACTATGTTAAATAGGGAGGTGGGGTGGGAAACCTTGTCTTCTAATTGAGTAAATATGGTAATACAGCTGTTGGGGGGGAATCAACCAGAAGCCAGGTCTGTTTGTTTTAATTCAGAAGCAGAAATGACTTCTACAGGGTTTTTTCAGAGTTGAGTTGTTGTTTAGAATATTCTATATACTGGCTATAGACTAACCCCGAGTCCCACCCGGCTGCCTGTGCCTCCTCCACAGCCCTCAGCCTCCCCTGCCCCCACACTGCTTCTCTCCCTCTCTCCACTCCTCTGCTGTATTTTTCTTTACTTTTTCTCTGTGCCAGCAGGTTCTGTCCCTGCTGCAGCCTGGGGCATGGAGCATGGCTGCAGCTTGGCCCCACAGCAGCAGTGGTGCAGAGCTGACACTGCTTCTCTGGGCCTAGGCTGGGGCAGCAGGGCTGGCTCTGCACTACTGTTATGGGGCTGGGCTGGAGCCACATTCCATGTCCCAGGCTGAAGATGAGATGGAGTAGACCCTGATGTGGAGTAAAGGTGAGGATGGGGGTGGAGGGGAAGGTTGGGCAGGGGAGAGACTTGATGGGAGGACAAGTAGCGTTGGGACCTGAGGCTTTGGCAGGGCAGAAGCGATGTGAAGGGGGAATTGAGGCAGCCTGAGGGTGCAGGGAAGAGGGTAGACGGGCAGTGGGAGTCAAGCTGCCTGCCCCCGCTGCCTGCCCTACCACATGCCTCCAGTTGCCTCCCCCACTGTCTCCCACTGCCTGGCCCAATCCTGCCCCCCTTAGCACCTCTCCTCCCACCATCTGCAGTAGTGGGGGGGTGAGTTTAAAATGATCCTCCAATAATTAGCTTCCATACATGAAAAATTGCAATAAACGTATAAATTTTCTGTATGTAGAATCTAGGGAATGGGGGGTGGTCATCTTGTATACAGAGTTGTTTTGCATTTGGGTAAATATGTTAGCTTTTTGTAATTAATACATTTTTATATATTTCAAGGAGTTGTTGTCATGCTTTAATGACCAGCAAAAATATTTTTTCAGTATCTAATATAAAATAAGAAAATTATGACATGAAACAGCCATTCTTGAAAAACATCATCCCCCGCCCCCCCCCCCCCCCCCCCCCCCAAGTCTATAAAATATATAATGCATGTCCTTTTATGTATATATTTAAAGCTGGAAAACATGCAGAAAACAATCTATGAGTTGGAAGAGCAGCTACATAATGAAATGCAGTTAAAAGATGAAATGGAGCAAAAGTGCAGGTGGGTGCCTGTTAGCTTGAATTTCACATTTGTAAAGTTTTATATGCATCTAATATGTGAGCTTTGTAGTAGTAATATAGTAATACCATAAAGATAACCACATGAATAGTGAGAATTGTACTTTCAGAAATACTGTTGTCCGTGAAGTTTTAGATTTAACTCCCTTAAATAATTTTTCAGTGTAGCTTTCTTACCTATGCCAGAAGGAAAGTTTTATTTGTTAGGCTTGACATCAGTAAAACACATGTATCTTCTCCCTGAAATTCTCTTTGTTACCACTATTCTTATAGGTTTCAGAGCACCTGAAGTACCCTGTGAAAACAATGATTTAGAAGAATATAAACTACTAGGTGTACAACATGTACTAAAGTAAAAAAAAAATCATGTTATCCCATATTCTGGTCTCTTAAATGCTGCAGTACTGTTGAAAGCCCCTACTTACGCTTTGTACAGAGATTAAGTTAAATATGAACAGTAATTTTCTTTCCTAGTAAAACATTTTGCTCTTTTACTGGGAAAAGAAATATTTGAGGAATTTAATAATTTCTTGTACCTTCATCAGTTGAAAAATTGTCCCATCAAACAGTTGTGGTGCATGGTATAAATGTTGTTAGTTTGAAAAGAATTGCTACCAATAATGGTCATACGAGAATTCAAATGAATCACCACTATTTAGTGTGCTGTGTCTAATGCACATTCATATACTGGCTGCCCACTCAGTGGCAGCATGAAATGGTGCTAGAAATGCATGATTTGGCAATTGTGGTAGTACTGCCATTGATTATAAAGAGAACACCAGTGTGTCCTCTGATATCTGACTAGTTTTACTATGGGGTTAGTGGACTGGATTTCCCATCTTGATATAACCTGATAGTAAAGTATAAGCGTCTTTTAACTAACAAAATATCTCTGATCTTTTTAGGACAGGAGAAGATAGCTACAAAAAGCCCCCTCTTTGTGACTTTACCTTTTTCAAAACACTGAAAGTCAGGGTAGACACCCATACTGTGCTTATAGAAGTGACTATGATCTTGGTTGCTCCGTAATTCTGATTTGACCAGATACTGTTTTTGAGGTTTTATTCTGCATTTATCTCAGCCTCTCTTTGGAATGCATTTACTAGTTGTCATTATAGTAACCATTTCAGGGATGTGTGTGCTTAGAGATGTGGGTATGCATAACTAGTCATTCTTTTTAGGGAATTGCCAAATATGGGCTGACCAACATTTCTTAGCTATCAAAAATAAATAAATGAACTTCTCTACATATTATCTTTTGGCACTTTGGTATTTAAGGACAAAATTTAACACTTAATGTTTTGACATGCATTGCCTATAGTGAATTCTCATTGCAATTAATAATTGTGATCATAATAAGCTAAAAGCATATGTTGGTCTGGTCTTCATATTTATTAAAATCTTAAATGAATGCTTTAAGCCCTGTTAATAATATTTGTAAGTAGTTTTAATTATTGAAAAACTAGGTATGTAAAATAATACATTGTCTTAATACATTATTAAAATGCTTCATTATTTCTAGAACTTCAAACATAAAACTAGATAAGATAATGAAGGAACTTGATGAAGAGGTAAGTTTGAAATTTTTTAAATTTATTTTTAAATTGGTGTGCTAGTGTTCTTCACTGTGGCTTTTTCTATACCTAGATTCCTTTTCTGCATTTCAGATCCTGTGTTGAATGTTGTTTTCTTCCTCTGTAGTATTCAGTATAGCTTTTCAAAATTAATTGCATGTTTAAAACTCACTGTGTAGATAGCCTTCTAACAAATTATTGCCTTCTTGTTTTCATAGTTTAAATAAACAAAATTAACTGCTTACTGTTATCTATGTAGGTTTTGCAGTCATTTGTCAATGTAATCAACAAGTTTAAAAGTGGTGGTGTTTTTTCCAACCCTTACGTTTTCATGATTGGTCTCACTGCTGGAAATACCAGTCCTATTGGCTTTCATTCACTCAACACAATAGGACAACTTGCAAGATCAGACTTTTTCATATAAGAAAAGATTTTCGGGATCATTCCCAAAAATGCAAATAAAAATTGCCAGTTTTTCTAATTTCAGGGAAATCAAAGAAAAAACTTAGAATCAACAGTATCGCAGATTGAGAAGGAAAAGATTCTGTTGCAACATAAAATAAATGAATACCAAAGAAAAACTGAACAAGAGAATGAAAAAAGACGCAATTTAGAAAACGAAGGTATGCCATATGCTTGAACTGAGTATGATACCATATGTTTTTAGGAATAATGTACTTATTTTAATATTTGAAGCAGTTTAAGGTACTTAAAATGAAAAACTGAGATATAAGGGATTAGTTTTCTTTTTAATTTGTTTTGAAATGAGGTAAATAGTCTTTTAATAAGATACTGTCTAACTCATATATAGCAGGCTCATTTGGTAATTTCCCAGTATGTAGGTTGGATGGTTAATCTGTCTAGTCCAGTGGTGGTAGGCCTTTTTTCCCAGCAGGTTAATTGGGTAGTGCCTGGTCCAGCTGTGGGCTGGATGGTGGTTCCATTCCAGTGCCTGGCGTTGGTGCGGCAGTTACCATGTGCCCCTGCAGGGGAGGGAAGGGGGCTTGACACAGCCCTGCCAGAGGGAGTAGGGGAAGGGTTATGACTTGTCCCATTGGGGGTTGGTAAGGAGGGACATGGCCTGACTTTGACTGGGTGTACAGGGCTTGAGGTTTGGGGATTTGGCAGGGGAGAAGGGGACTTTATTAATGTCCACTGCTCCCCTGCTGCCAAATATCTGGACCCTAGGGAGCCCCGTGGGCCAGATGCAGTGGCTCTGTGGGACCACATTTGGCCCGTGGGCCGGAGGTTGAGCTCCCCGATCTAGCCAGTCTTTCTGAAGCTGACTGGGCTGAGCAGCATGCTCTGGGTAACAGTGTATCCATAATAACGTTTAAGTAGTACTTTCAACATTGAAATCCATGGGATTTGGCAAATGGCTCGTGCTATTTGCACAACTTGAAAGGGCAGCACACCTTTATCCATGGGCATCTGAAGTAGTTTATATCATATCTACACAAATAGCCACTTTCTACCCTCTAAAGTGTGTACATGGCGCCTTTCTGAGTTCAGCCAGTTAAGGATAACTCTATGCTCAAGCACAGAATTTGGCCTCAGGTATACCAGAGGATATATCCTAAGGATTTTGCTATCTTAAGTGATCTTCTAATGAGTAGAGCTAAGCTTTTGATGCTCTTTGTAGTGAGTAAAACATTTTTTATAAAACAGTTCTTGCATTTACTATTTTTATTCTGTGTCTAGTGTCCACATTAAAAGAACAGTTAGAAGACCTGAAAAAACTTAGTCAGCATTCACATATTACAAATGAGAAGATAACACAATTACAGAAGCAAGTAAGTGATTCCTTTTAACATCTGCATTGTATTTACTCAAATCTAAGACTACCTGAATATAAGATGATTGCCCAATAATTAAATTCTATATATGGAAAATGTATAGATTTATTTTAATTTTTCAGGTATAGAATTTAATTAGCACAGGTTTTGTCCTGAATTTGTCCCTGTCCCTGTCTCTTCTCCCTCCCAACTGCTACAGCAGGGGAAAAAAGTGGCTGGGCAGGGGTCTTGCCCTCTTTCCTTCTTCCCCCGAAGCCCTTTCACTCCCCGCCCCTTACTGTCAGACCCTGCTTAGGCTATCTTGCCTCCTTGAGGATGTGGAAATGAGGGGCAGATTTGTAACAGGGACCAAAAAACACTGGCTTTGAAATAAACCTACCTATAACACTTGCATAAAAGCAAATTACTACAGGTACCTACAGGCTTAGTTCATCCAGAATTGTTGCATTTCACCTTTTTTAAAAACTGCTGCAGGTTCCAGTACAGGTACTATGGCATGGTACCATAACCATACATTTAAGCAGCACTTTTCTACCTGCTTCAGCACAGTACATACTATATATGATATTAATCCAAAGTCAAAAGGGTCACAATTTACCATAGTGTTCATTGGGTTGGGCCCCAACAGAATCAACAGCATTTCAAGCCATGGTTTCCCCACAGCCCAGCACTGCTCAGTATGTGTGTATACTCCAGATAAATCCCCCTCTCCCTCTAGCCCCGCCAAAAGGATCCATGTATTAATGAGCTCCCACTTGCAACTGGAACTGGGTGTTCTTGTCACAAGTCCTGGGATCACCAAAAATGTATATGCATATGAGACATGAGGCTGCTTGGTTCGGCTCTACCTCATGGAGCACAGAGCCACGTGAATCATATGTGACAAATGGAGAGAGGGGGCAACAGAGCTTCTCATCCACACAGACATTTGGTTTGGCTGGTGAAGAAATAGAACTCATTGTAAATGGAAATAAAGGCCAGAATGAAGAGGAAGTTGAAATGTTTTCAGTGTAGTGGCTCACCATGACTTGAAAAAGAGTCAGTGCTGAGGAGGATGAGTGCAATGGGCACTATATCTTATTCAGAGGGGCTGCACTAAGCTTTGTGGTTGGTTCCCATCAGCATGTTTGCCCCATATGGGCCATGTGTTTTACAAGTGTGCTCAGTTTGGGTTGCATTCCATCAGCTTGATAGCTGGTTTCCATTACTGAGGACATGTTGCTTCTAGTAGCAATTTAATGGTAAACAGTGTATTTAATGTAGTGTTTCCTCTGTAAGGCAAGCTGCTTTTCTCACCATGCTGATTGGGAGGAAAAAAACTTCCTTATATTTGAGTTAATATAGTATTTTTTTTTATACTTGTTGTAATACTGATTATGTGAATATAACAAACCTGACCTGTTAGTTATACCTGGAATTGGAAGTCTTATTATTTTTCCTCTTACTAGCTAGAAGAAGCAAATGATTTGCTAAGGACAGAATCGGATACAGCAGTAAGACTGAGAAAGAACCATACAGAAATGAGCAAGTCTATAAGCCAATTAGAATCACTAAACAGAGAACTACAGGAGAGGTGCCGTGTTTTGGAGAGCACAAAATTGCAAGTGGAGAAGGATTATTATCAACTACAAGCGGCTTTGGAAGCAGAACGAAGGGACCGAAATCATGGCTCTGAAAGGATAGGAGAGCTACAAGGTAATCATTCATGTTGGGTTTGTTGTTTCTTCCTAAGAGTCTGATGCCATATTTTATACTTACCTGGTTATAGTGCACAGGCATGGCGCATATGCTAATTGAGCTATCAGAAGGGGGTTTAAATGGTTTATGGGCCCTCTACATAGAGATGAATTTGATGTATTGGAAGGCTTATGACATAAAAGAATCACCAAGCATTTTTCATGGACAGCAGCTAAAGTCTTAAAAACGTATTTATTATAGGGGTGGGAAATTACTTCAGTTGGAGGGCCACTTTGGTGAGCTGTCAGGGCCACAAGGATGGCCCTGCCCTTTTGACAAGTGCCCTGCCCCCTGGTTGTCATCTTGGGACCGAAAGGCCCACGTTTGCCACCAGAAGTCCCTCCCCTTGCCCCGATACTCCTTTTGAGAGGAGGGGTTACCATTTTGAAACTTTATTTTTAAAAATATTTTCATCCTGATTTGTGCGTGTTTGCATAGTGTATGTAGAGACAATTGCATCATAGCTCAAAATGCAGTCTTATTCTTGGTTGTTATGTGGGGGTGGTGATTGGGGAGAGGGTGTGTATGGTGGCTGGGGGTTGGGTGTGGGGTATGTGGTTTGTGTGTGGGGGTGTGTAGGAGGGGTTGGGTTCATGCACTCCCTTTCCCCCAGTGGGTGTCCCTGGCCCGCTGGGGCCCTTACCTAGATTTCCACTCTGGGCTGGGAACAGCCACAGCGGGGCCAGGTAAAATCTTCTGCCAGGCAGAGGCTTCTTGTGTCTAGCACCCCCTAGCTTGGGGCTGGGGGCAGGTCAGGCTGGGATGGGGGTTAGTACCTTAGCAACCAGAGCCACACCTCTTGCATGGAGGCGTCAGCTTTCAGAAGGGCAGTCCAGGGCTAGGGATTACAAAAGGGCCTTATGGGCTGGGTGGAATTGCCTGGCGGGCCAGATCTGACCCACAGGGCATACTTTGCCTGCCCCTGATTTATTAGACGTATATGTCGACTTTCTCAACAAGGGCTCAAGGCAGTAAGAGAAAAAAATTATAAAAGCAAGTAGGATAGCGTGAAACCTCCTGTGCACTTTGTAAAGTACATTGTAGCAGACTGCATTGTAAGAGCTGCATAGCTCTTTAGGCTTACAGGAAAGGGATTGTCTTTTGTGTAGTCCCTTAAGTGTATAAAACTGTGTTTTGCTGGTTCCTAGCCAAGTTTGCATGGAATTTACATGTACTCCTGTCAACCTTTATCAAGCAGTTTTTTGACAAGATGATCATTGAAATCTGTAATGAAAATTCATGTCCTATTTTACTTCAGAAATTCTGTGATATTTTTATATTTAAGTAATCTCCCAGAGTCATGCAGCACTCCAAGTACAAATATTTATAGGTAACATTGTACACAGACTGTATGCCAGGTCAAAATTTCATAGGATCACAGGAAAGTAGGACTGGATTGGACCATCCCCATGATCAAGGGAAGATAATCACTGACTAAACCAACCCCTCCAAATCAAAGGTGGCACACTGTCCTTCCAAAACAAGCCAGACAGGAGTCTTGAGCCCAGGACCTTTGGATTTAGGAGGCCTACTATCTGACCATTGGGCTGATACAGTGCTAGTAGTATTTAATACAGAACAACACAAACTTTCAAAGATACAATGAGCCAAGTTTAAATTCTTTAGTTTAATAGTATGTTAAATAGCTGCATAGTAAAGCAGACTACTTCAGCCTTGATGCTGGAGAATATGCCACAGAGAGGGTTAGCTATTTTGAAGTATTCCAAGGAAAAAGCTATCTTTTTTCCTCCCCTGAAGGAACTCCCCAATGCATACTTTTATTATGTGTCAGAAAATGTCTGTTCTACACTGAAGCAAAGTGTTTATTAATGGAAGGAAATGTTTGTATATTGGAGACTTTAAGAAAAGGAACGAAACAAAAACCTAAATGCCTAATAGCTTGTTTTCAATTCAGGCTTCTTAGCTAATATTAAACATAATTTTTTTTATGCCAGCTCGGATTACATCTTTACAAGAAGAGGTCAAGCATCTTAAAAATAATCTTGAAAAAGTGGAAGCAGAAAGAAAACAGGCACAGGATATGCTTAATAATTCTGAAAAGGTAAAAGCTTACAATACGTGGTGATTTTTAAGAAAATACAGAAATTCATTGACTGTTGTCATATTTTATAATCAAGGAATTGAGATTAACTTTGTAGCATTGATAAATCACAGCTTTTCTTACTAAAAGCTCTGTGCAGATCAATCAGTAGGTGTGTGAACTATGTAGTATTAAGTAATTTAAGAAAACTAATCTCATTCTGCCTATAGAGGTTCATGGGTCCTGCTGTAGGTCTTCAGCTCTGCTTTTAGTTTTGGCTGCAAAACTCGTATCTGTCAGTCGCTAGCACTGGTTCCATAACCCAGCCCTTTGGCTAAATAAGCAGTCATTTTTCATTCTGCCTGAACAGCTACAGGCAAGTTGCCCAGACTAGTCTGCTGAGGCTCCTTATGATTTTTAAATATAAATATTCTATTTTTTCATCTACTATTTAAATGTTTAGCTTAATTTGATTTCTAACTTGGCTAGTTCTGTACTGATTCCTTTGATCGACTTCTAGGGCTGAGCCACTTGACTTCCAGTTCTTTCTTCTTTCTGAAATGAGGCAGCATTACGTGTCTCTGGTTGATCCCAGCAAGACAGATAGGCAAGCAAAGCAGACATATGGGAATTCTGCTCTTTTTGCACCTTTTTCCATATTGAATGCATGGATAGGAAGCATAACTGGACCTGTGATTGCGGAAGTTCAACTGTGCTCCTCAGGCCACCCATAGTAGGCTGGAGTGACAGGATCCCTAGCAGGGAAGCATCACCCATTTCTACTCTAGTTTTGGGGATTAGATAAAATAATGGGGAAATGTCAAGTTCCTTTACACTAGTAGTGCCCAACCTTTGGGCCCTGTGGGTTGACTGAGTGGCGTGGGGTCAGTTTGTGGGATGAATCCTACATAGACTTGATGCATGTGTTGGTCCATGGTTGTGATCCAGTACTCTGGCCTGACCCCAGGTGGCCGGATCTGGCTCCCCACAAGTCCAGAAATCTGGCAGATGGGGTGCAACAAGGCACTACTCCCTTGCTGCCAAATTTCTAGATCCTTAGGAAGTGCCGCAGGCCAGATGATGTGGTTCCTTCACAGGCCAGATCTTCACAGGCCTGAGGGTTGGGAGCTGAGCACTTGTGCTCAAAGACCTGCTGAGCTTGCTACATCAGGTACTGTTAGGAATTTGTGGTTCCAACAGAAGTTTTAATCCACCTTGATGGAGTTGCTCCAGGTTTACAGGTTATGCAAATCAGAGAAGAATCTGATTCCACTAGTCTTTATGGGGGTTTCTCCCATTCTCACAAATGCCTCTTTTTATCTAAACTACCAACAAACACAAAGAAGCTAACAGTAAATAATGCCTTTATTGAATAATGCATTCTATAGTCTATTGAAAATGAGATGTTTTATTACCTTCTGAGCTTGTAGAATGCTAAATAAGATAAGGAGTTTCTTTTGAAATCTTCTGAATGTTTTTATAATAATTTGCAGGAAAAAAATAACCTGGAAATAGATTTAAACTACAAGCTCAAAACATTACAAGAACGGTTAGACCAGGAGGTAAATGAGCATAAAGTGACTAAAGCACGGTTAACTGACAAACATCAATCAATTGAAGAGGCAAAATCAGTTGCGATGTGTGGTAAGTGTTGTCTGTTAGTTTCACACAAAATACTGTACAGATTTATACCTTTTTTCAAAATAGTAATTAAGGCTTCTAAGCCCCTGTAGATTTCAATAGGAGTTAAATGCCTAACTAGAAGCTAGGGACGTTTATACGCATACTTTTTTTGTCTCGATGCACTGGAGATCCGCTGCTATGGACCAGACTCTTTATCGAGTCCGCTCCGCATGCGACCTGAGGTGAACTGCACTGCGCCACGTGCAGTTTTATAAGTGGCAAAATGCACGTCAGCATGCAGTGCACTTTTGAACTAAAGCACCTCCAATGTGTTTTAGTTCAGAAGTGTTGCCCCATTTTCTCAATGCTGACGTGCATTTTACCACTTATACAACTGCAAACATCACAGCACCAGGAGCATTTCAAAGCACCCGGCGCTGCGGTGCTTGCATGTATGAAAATGCCCTAGGTATGTAAATTGCTTTTTAGGTCCAGTTTGTTTACTTATTTATTTTTAATTCCACTAAAACACCAATGTTTTTGACATGTGGTGCTCATTATGGAATAGCTTTTTAATCACTGGTATGAAGAAAATACATATGCATGTCAAAATCCAAAACCCTAACATTACTTAAAGATCCTGGAGTAGTTGCATAACTTGTATATATTAGCATAGGTTCATTAGCATCACTGTAGTGGGGATGTGTCCAGTGTACTCTAAATGTGAAAGTTATGTACTATGTCTTTAAAAAGATAATCTGTAATTTTACTTCTTGCAAGTTATCACCCAAGATTTCTTCTCATCCAACCACTTTTTCTCCAAGTTGGAGGGCTTGTGTAAATAAATAAAATGTAACACCTTAAGATATTTTTTGCCATTCATTCTATCAAAATATTATGTAATTAAATTTCTGATAGACTTTTGGGAATCCCTTGTTTTTGAAACAATACAAGAAATTAATGAAATGTTTTGAGCACTAGTATTATAACAGTTAGTACAGTAACATGTAGTTGTCTGTAGGAAAGTATTAATCTTTTTAGTGTCTGTCAGAAATATACAGCTAGTAGAGTTCTGTTTAGTATTGTGTTAGGATGTGAAGATTAAAAGAATGAGTTATTTCTTTGGCATTCAAAGAAAACAGAATTGCAAACTTCATCTTAATTATGTCCACCCTAGTGGGTGTTCATGTTGGCAGAGATTCAGAAAAGTCTAGGCACCCAAATCCTAGACTGGGTCCCTATTGAGTTGCCTTTTATACCTTAACAAATCTACCATTGATTTGAATTCCAATATATAGCATGGTTTTCTAGCTCACGTTCATATACTAATACAGTTGAGTTTTGTTGATTGTATTCCTGTATATTTTGGTTATGAGTTTTTAAAATAATTATCAATTATTAAACTAATTCTCACTTTTTGTTATTAAGATTATTACAGTAAGGGGAAAAGTGTACATTAGATTTTGAGATTTTTAAAGAACTTTAACACCTAAACTAAAGAGCTCTCTAGATACAATTTATCATTAGCAAAAATTCAAAATATGGAAAATACAGTAAAGCTTTTCAGAAGACGTGGAAAGATTCTGAACTTCTAAAGAGCACTTCAGTAGTGCTGGTATCTTAGGTGATTTTTGTCCCTGATGTGACTATACTGAAGTAAGTGAAGTTGCTCAAAGGGCTTATCTCTGGTCAGCAGTTGACTTCTGTGAAACAAGTATTTCCCCTGTGTAAGTCATCTGTCTGAACTAAAGCTTCACCATGATACCTTTGTTGAATGAATTATTTTCTGTCCAACGTTCACTTATGTCCATGCATGTACACTGTATTGAAATACTTACAAAATTAATTGTGGATTGCTGTGCTTCTTTCCATTCTTTGTATGTTATCATGGAAATCAAAGTTCGTCTGGAGACATATAGGGATATGTCCAATATAGCTACAGGGTGCTTGGTGTCAGCGCCAAGGAAGTAAGTCCTGATGACTTGCTCCTGTTCTGTGTTCATCCACCCTGGTAATCAAATGAGTGAGTTGGTCCTAGGGGCAATCCTGGCACTATGATCAAAGCTTTTGTTTTTGGCATGCTCAAGAGTGGCAGCATGGAGTGCCCTCAGGCCATCTTCCTTGCTGTATTTCCATAGTTTATATGTTTATTCATAGATTTCATAGACATCAGGGCTGGAAAGGACCTCGGAAGATCGAGTCCAGCCCCCCGCCGAAAAGGGCAGGAAGTCAGCTGGGGTCATAGGATCCCAGCAAGATAAGCATCCAGTTTCATCTTGAAGGTGTTCAATGAAGGCGCTTGAACCACCTCCGGTGGCAGGCTGTTCCAGACCTTGGGGGCTCGGACAGTAAAGTAGTTCTTCCTTATGTCCAGCCTGAAACGATCTTGAAGTAGTTTGTGACCATGATGGAGCGTTTTGCTTCAGTAAGACCCAGTACCCTGCAACAGGACTGAGCACCTCGCTGTTGCGTTGTAGACATTAGGGGTGTGCAAAACAGGCCCTATTTGATTCGGATTCGGCCCGAATCGGGGACAGTGATTTGATTTGTTGATTTGGATCACTGTCCCCGATTCGGTTCGGCCATATCCAAATTTGAAGATTCGATGCCGATTCAAAGAATCAGCAATTCGGCCATAGACACAGCTTTAAATGTTTTTTCTACATACCTTGAGGTACCAGGTGCAGCTTGTGAATGCTGTGATGTTGGGGTAGATGGAGTGTCCCACAGGTGCGTTGGGGGGGGCCACCCTGTGTGCTCAGTGGCAAACCCAGAAGTTCACCGGAAGTACTTCCAGTCTACTTCTGGGTCCATTGGGGAGCATGCTGAGCCCCCACTCTGGGCCTCCTCGGCTCAGCAATTAGCCAAGGGGGGGAACTTGGGTGTCCCTCCCCCCCGACCCAGGAGGCACCAGCCAGCTGGGGGGCGCAGGGGAGCCCCCCAGCATGCTCTGCAGTAGACTTGGAAGTGAACCGGAAGTGATTCTGGTCCACTTCTGTGTCTGTTGCCAAGTGCGCTAGGTAGCCCCCCACGCTTTTGTGGGATACTCCATGTGTTCCAGCATTGCAGCGTTCACAAGCCGCCTGCTACCTAGAGGTATGTAGAAAAAACATTTAAAGTTGTGTCTATGTCCGAATCGCTGAATCTTTCCGAATCGATTTGGAGGGATTAAAGGGATTCTATCTGTCTGATTCTATTCGGATTCAGAGATTTGGCCACTGGAGAATTGGGCCGAATATCCACCGAATCAAATCAGGGACCAAAGCTTCACATGGCCCTAGTAGACATGCTTTTAGAGTGTGTTAAAGAACTTGTAATTTTTCTGGTTTTTAATTCTGGTTTTCCTTTCACTAGTAATAAACCATTTGCTCTGTGTGTGTTTCTATTTTAAAATATATATATTTAAAAAAAGTGCTTCACTTGTAGGAAAAAAGGTTTGTATAAAAACAGAAATTTTTCACTTTGTGTTTGCTGCTTTAGTCCTATAAATTTTCCTTGCAACAGACTGTAAAGTAACTTCAAGAGCTCAACCTAAGGGGGCTACTCAAAAATCTAATAATGGAATCATGGATGAAATATTAAGGTAGTTAAGAGTGCAGTTAGGCAAGTCTGCTCATACAGCTGTCGTATTTGTGCTTTTTGCGCTGTCAATTGTTTTTGTTTCCTGTCCAGAAATGGAAAAAAAAGTTAAGGAAGAGAGGGCCGCAAGAGAGAAGGCAGAGAATCGAATAGTTCAGATTGAAAAACAATGTTCCATGCTGGACTTTGACCTGAAGCAGTCTCAGCAGAAGCTGGAACATCTTATTGAACAAAAGGAAAGGCTAGAGGATGAAGTAAGTTTAACAAAATACATTATGGACAAACATCTTTTCTATGGGAAGGGAAAAGTTAAAGAATCTTAATTAAGTTACAAATAAAGACCTGAATCCAATTAGGTCAAAGCTTATGTAACATCAATATTAGTTATATCTAGGGATCTACTTAAATTAGTTTCATGACTTTTGCAGAAAACATGAAAAAGGGCTATCTCCACGATCACTGAAAAAATGGCATTGGCTATGATTTCCCAGGAAATCAACTAAAAAAAAATTAATAAAAATAAAATGCTTGCTCCCCAGCACCAGGGGCGGGGCTGCATGAAGGGCAGGGTAGCCAGCAGTCAAGAGGTCAGCTGCCCCCTCGTTCCCCCTCCCCCAGGGCCTCTGCCAGTCAATGCCAAGGGGCGGGGCCTTTCCATCAGTCAGCGTCAAAAGGTGGCACTGCTGTGAAATGACCATGAAACTGTCTCTGTGGGTTGCGACCAAGCTACGAAAATTGCCTTCTCTCACTGTGTGTTAGGTAGGTCCCTAGTTGTATCCAGCAACAGTTCACTTAAATGTGAAGTGTAAGTGTAAATCCTAATAAGCTAAATTACACACACCTTCTTAGATCCCGGATAGCAGATCTGTCTGGTCTGTTTTCCCTGTAAATCATGAATGACAAACTCTCCTGGTCTCCTGCACCAGATCCAGGTCAGGGAGCTGCAGGGGTCAGCATAGCTGCCATTCACCACCACCTCTGACATGTATCCCCAGTAGGGCTCCATACCCCAGATTTTGACGGTGGGCCCTACTCCCAAATTTCCAGCCCTTCCAGGAGTCCCACAGGCCACATGTTTGATGCCCTTGCTTAAAATAAATAAGAGCTATACACTGATAGTGCACTGCCATCTGGCATAAAATGGAGTCCTAGGCATTCTAGATTTGCTGTAAATAATACTGCAGGATTTTGCTGGATTTTAGATGCAAGCATATTTTTTGCATCATCACAATCAGTAGTTTATTTCCAAAAATGTGTGCTCTCGATAAACAAAATTGAACTTAAACTCAAGAAAAGTTGCAAAATTAAGCTTACATAGGTAAAATAGATGTTTAACTTTCTTAGTTTTAACTGCATGACATAATGGTACTAGTTCAGCTTGTTGTTGCAACCCAACTTTTCTATATCTCTTGTGTGTTTGAGCCCTTATTTTAATGTTGTATTAATGCAATTTTTGCGTTTCTTTTTTTTCACTTTGTAAAAACAGAAACACTTGAATCTAAGTTTAAATTGCGGTGTTTTTAAACTTCAACTTCCAGTTTTAAAACAGGCAAAATACACTTTGTTCTGGAATCTGATCATTCAGAATGTGCAAAAAAGAGTTTCAATAATGTCAGCTGAAAGCATTCTCATATTGGTGTTTTTAAGAGTCTCATCTCATTCTTCTGGATTAAAATGGGAAGGATGGATCCAAAGAATGGGTGCCTGCAGTTTAATTTTTTACACAACCTATTGACACCAAAACTTTTACTGAGTGGAAAGACACAAACTTCTAAAACTTAAAATCCGTAGAGAAGAAGGATAACCTTACAGCAAACCTCTTGGGTCTCTTCCATTGTCATCTCTAATGTGAAGTAGCTGGGAAAAGGTCAAATATTTAAAACATGGATAAAATTAATAGCCAGATACAGGAAAGCTCTTGAAAGGTCTTATGAACCCTCAAATACAATCCACATGGAAAGCTGTTTTGTTAATGAGATTAACATGTCCAAGAAATATGAGACTCTTTGGAATATTTATTTGTATGTACTATTTAATTTGTAAAACCTGCAAAATGGTAATGCTTGACATAATCTGTATGTGAAATGCTTTTAACCAAATCCAGGAAAATATGCTTAAATATTTTAAACGTTAAAAATGAATTATCAAACTATATTAGGTTAAGAATCTAACACTTCAGCTGGAGCAAGAGACAAATAAACGAATTCTGGCACAAAATGACTTGAAGGTTCAAGCTTCTGAGGCAGACAACTTGAAGAGTTCTGAGAAGCAGCTGAAACAGGAGATAAATACATTGATGGAAACGAAGAGATTATTGGAATTTGAGTTGGCTCAACTGGCTAAGTAAGTGAAAATGTGAAGTAGTACATGAGCATGACGCAGCAGAATTTTTCTGTATATTGCATGTCACTGTCCATGCAACAAAAATACTTTGAGGTGTGGACGTTTTTTTCCTAAGTGAGCGTACAGCCAGCATTAGATTATTTTTATTTTTAGTTGTAGGTTCTTGCCTGATCCTTTTGTGCAAAAACTTTTCCAAACTCATATATCTGACACTTGGCTTCTTTCTGGAACATCTGGAGTGTCTGTTCTAAGAACCGTTACTTGGGGATTAGATTTTGGGTAGTGCATTGGAAGACCACTGCTGAATACATTTTCCCCTCATTAAATCACCGTGTTTTTCCTTATAGCTTCTTTAGACTGACAGCAGACAGCATTGTTCTTCCAACAAGAGAATTCTTTTTTATTGTGCCTTGGCCATGCTGTCCTACCACTGAAGACAGGAATCAAACTCCTTTCAGAGCACTGCTCATTACTCATTAGGGATTACCATCCCTTAGGACTGCCATCATGGTAGCCTATAAAGCATGTTTTAAATCACAACTTTAGAATAAGGCAAGCCATTGATCTTCATAAATTATGTCATTTAAAAGCACAATAAAAACAAATTATTGGTGCAACTGGCAAGTGCTTTTACATGTTTATATGGTTTTTAGATTTTTTATATATACTTTTCTTCTTCTTTGAAGGCAATATAGAGGAAATGAAGGTCAGATGCGGGAACTTCAGGATCAACTTGAAGCTGAACAGTATTTTTCAGTAAGGTTCATGATGAATTTTAAAACAGTGGAAGATTATCATATTAAATAACTTGCTGACTGTGTGCTTCATTAGTTTGGCATTTTCAGTAATATGCATAAATCTATTCAAAAATAGAAGTATAAAAAATGTAAGCTAACATGAAAATACTTTGATTACTGTATGGCAACAAGCTTTATTAAAATATTAACAAACCAGGTATAGTGTTTGGTTCCTGTGGGCAATGAAGTACCATATTCCTTTTTTATATTATATACATAAAACATCCGATTTTACAAGTACGGAATAATACATCTCTCCTTCCCCCAAATCTTCCAAAATCTGCTTCATTTAAATTGGTTTAAAGCAAGCAAGTCTGTATAGATCAGAGGTCAGGCATCCCCTGGCATGCATGCCAAAGCGTGGCACATGAAGGCATTTTACTTGACATGCATGCCTTGGGGTGGCTGGTGGGAAGAGGCTGGGGCTGCAGTGCCACAAAGATAGGGGCCCCTCATGGCTCCCCTGTCATCATGGCTCTCCTGTCATCTGCCTCTGGCAATGCTAACACCATACAGGTCAAGGTTGCAGGTATTTTTGGCACTCTGCCCAAAAATGTTGCTGACCCCTACATTAGATTATGATAAGGCTAGCCTACATTAAGTTATAAAGACTCAAATGAGTAATAAATATAAGATTTATTTTAGGTGTACAGTTGTGGGGATTTCATCAGAGTACCTTGAAGCCTAAACTATGGGCAAGGAGTCCATTGGTTCTGTGTTCGTTACGCAGAACAAAAAGGCAGTGTCTGAAAGGTAGATAGAGCAATAAAAAGAAAAGTGTGTTTTTTTTGTTTTTGTTTTTTGTTTTTTTTTTAAATCAAAAAAATCATGAGACTATATTAATCAGCATGAATGGGAGTGGTATTAATATATCATCAGCATTACTATTCTCAAGCTGCTTGTATATGAGAAACTTGTAAAGATGGATTTGAATCTAGACTTTTCCTTATTTCTATTACAGACACTTTACAAAACTCAGGTTAAGGAGCTAAAAGAAGAAATTGAGGAAAAGAATAAAGAAACTCAAAGGAAAATACAGGAATTGCAAAATGAAAAGTATGTGCTTTCTAATCCTTGAACAGAAAGATGTTTACCTATATGCTACCTGTTTTTGAAGTGCTGAAATCAGAATAAAAATCTCGTTTCCTACCCTATGGTTGAAAAATGCTTGCTTATGAAAAATGTAACGGGCATTGAAAATGTCCCTGTATACTTTATAAGATGAGGAAGACATTGGATAGTACTTACTTGCTCACGACAGATGATGGAATTGGAGCTTTTGTTTTTATTTATTTTCTTGGACTAAGTTTGGGAGATGAGGAATTTACAATTTCTTGGACTCTAGAAATATTGAAAAACGTGTCTTTGTAAGGCATCCGTACTTTTTTTTGGGGGGGGGGGAGGAAAGAGGTAGGAGGTGTGCTGTTGACTTGATAATTGCATTTGTTTTTAAAACCAATAAAATAGTCTTGGAAAAAAGTATAATCAAAATAATATTTCACTTGGAAATGGATCTTAAAGATGCTACAATCGTCTTTTGACAGTTCAGAATTCGCCATGTCCATGTTACATTTTTATTTCAAAAAGATCTTTTTAGTGCTTTGTACACAGCACAATGACACCATTTTACTTGTCAAGTTTGGCTCTCGTTTTGCTTCAGCAGAAATCAATAGCGCAAAACAGCTGAAAACCAGTGGAAGACAGTTTATTGTTGATTTTGGTGAGAGGAAAAGGAATGAGATGAGCCCTCTACATTATTAAATATGGTGAAAGGGGGGAATATTATTCTCTCTCAGCTACACAGCAAGAGCCATTGTGAGTCTCTATCTCCAAGATGGAGGAAGGAAGGAACCAACTCCTTCAGCCTTCTTGGCCTTCCTCTTTCACTTTTTCATTATCATTTTTGTCATCCTGCAGGAGCAGTTTGTTCTGCACCTGCCTCTTTAGAAGATTTCCATGTTCATTGCATACATTTTTAATTAAGTAACACAGGCAAGCTATAATTTTCACTCTTTTGACTGGACAAAAATGATAGAGCAGTTTTTCTCTTTCAAAGAATTTAGAAAGACTGCAATTATGGATTTTTACTTAAAATCTCTGGGTTCATCTTATAAATCACGGTGGCACACTTAACTAATATCATTGTGTGGCATGCTGTGGCACTCGGAAAGGAGCTCAAAGCATCCCAAGGTGGCACAGCATACTGGTTGAAAATCACTGGTCTTATGATTAATCACCTATACTAGAGGCTCATCTGTATTGCAGCTACAGTAAGTAATCAGGACTCAATTGCAGCACAGTTATCCTTGTATTGTTAAAGGACACTTTATTTTGCTGTACAGGCAAGACCTTCACAATGAGTTGATACTTTCAGAAGCTTTGCACTGGCTGTCACCTGGCTTGGGGAAAATAATAATACTATGCTTTAACTGTATTGGACCAACTATAATACAATCTTTTCCCAACACAGTTTACAGAAACTCTTTGTATAAGTTCTCTCCCCCCCCACAAAGACTTCAGTCTGGTGAACAGTGGATGAGAGCAGTGTCATAGCACTTAAACAGATATTATATCTTGAAAAAGGTTTCAAACCTGGTTACAGTTGGTTGTAACTTGTGTGCTAGATCCTAATAGTCACATAACTCCTATGGAGTTACTTAAACTCCCCACCCCACCCCTGCTGCAAGTGGGTAAAGCAGTGTGAGAGTGCAGGTGGCGGGTGATCAAGTGACTTGTCTCCTGCTTCCTACCACCTGCCTCTGTTTATTCTCCAGCAGGGCTCTGGCCCTGCTTCAGCCTGGGGCTTGGAGCATGTGGTTGCTCTGGTTCCAGCCTGACCACACAGCAGCTGTTGTGGAGGTGGCTGCTCTGTCTCGGTCCTAGAGTTGGACTCCTAGCCAGAGCTGCTGCTGATACTGTTACCAAGTTGGGCTGGGGCTGGAACAGTTGTGTGCATTTGTAGAATTGAAGGGAAGGTGGTGCTGGGGCAGAGGCTGTGGGATATGGTGGGGAGTGGGACAGAGGCAACAGTGGGGTAGGCAGTGGCTGTGGCTATAACTTTGACCCTGAGCCTGGGTTGGAGCCACTGCTGCCACCTACCCCCAACTCCTCCTCTGCCACCCATTGTACTCAAATCCAAGATGAGGGACTCCTCCCTAAGTTAAGTGGGAGAGGGATATAGCAGGGGGGGAGAAACTCATCTTGGATTTGAATAAATAAAGTGTATAAAAAAATGCATCATTATAGTTGTTGAGCCTTCAGTTTCCTTGTTCCTTATTCCTTTAAAGGGGATGTTTTTAAAATAAATGATTTGTTGAAAAGTATAGTCTGGACTTGCCTTCAGTTAAGTGTTTTTGCGCTGTAAATGTGATCTTAATATTCTGTTATAGAGAAACTCTGGCTGCACAGTTGGATCTGGCTGAAACCAAAGCTGAGTCAGAACAGCTGGCTCGAGCTCTCTTGGAAGAACAGTATTTTGAACTTACTCAGGAGAGCAAGAAAGCAGCATCAAGAAATAGACAAGAAATTATTGATAAGGATGGCATAATAAGTCAGGCAAGTTACTTTGATGTAAACACATTCTTCAATTAAAAAAATAAAAATTTAACAATTTGTTTCTTCAGTTTAGCAGAGAAGTCTTCCTTTAAGGAACTGCATAATGAAGCATTTTCAATTTGCTTATTTCTTATATAAGGACAGATAGCTAAAGTCCAGCATCTTTTTGTGTACCAGCAGTTATTTTCAGGTTTGAGGTTAGGTTGAAAATCCGATCCAGTGACTCGACTCTGTTAAAGGCAGGTGTTGGAGCATGGAATCAAGTAAATATAGTACTCATCTACACTAGTCTCTTCTTGTATGATTATATTACTCAAATGAATGCCATGATCTGAGAATAATATTACATTATGGAAAGCTTTCATTCCTATTTCTGGTTGAGTAATATTGTGAATAATATTATATTCTGTTTGAGTAATATTATTTCTGTTTGTTAGTATTTGTTGCATACTGGGAATCTACTAAGCACTTAATATCATAATAGGTCTCTTTTCAAGGATAATTGTCATATGCATCTGCAGAAGAATTGGAAGTTTTATGTTCAACTTTGAAAAGTTAAATAAATATGCAATCTAAGAGTAGTGATTCGACCCAAAATGCTTTTATTGATTTAAGATTAATTTTAAAGAATAAATATAATTTAAATATATATAGCAAATGCTTTGTTAAAAACTATCTTTGTTTTCACATAGCTGGAAGAAACAAATAATACATTAACCAAAGATGTTGAGTTTCTAACAAAAGAAAATACAGAGGTAAATGAAAAAATCAAGAAGCAGGAAGAAGGTATGGCATAATTTTTTTTTATTATTATTTTAAATTCATCATCAACAAAAGAAAGCTTAATAGAGATGCATGTGTGTGTTCATCTTGCAGAAAGAAAACTAGCTTTAACTAGTTTTTCCTTAAGCATTAAGGAGCATACAATCTTTTTATACTTGATCCCCTTCTACACATATTAAAAGGGGCTAGGACTTTTCTTCTTTGAAGGGGCTTCAGGGGAAAGCAGTTGCCTAGGAAGTATGCGCTTCCATGGGCAAATGTTAACCTGTTGCATTGGGAAGGAAAGGTTGGAAATTCTTTTTGCTCAGTTAAAGAAAAACTTACATTTGTGAAACTTACATAGCCTAGTACTTTAACCATTCCATTTAATCATTTAATATTATATCAACATACAAGTCAAGCAACACAGAAAAAAACTTTTTTCTTCATATTTCAGACCCCATACCTTTTGTGATGGCAGTTCAATTTAAGTGGTGCTTTGAAAATTATAGTATGAATGTTCTTCAGTATTGTGGAGTAGTTGGTCATGATAGCATATTTAAGATAGCAGCTGAATATTTTGTGTAACGGGACATATATGATTTTTACTGAAGATTTAATTTAAAATGCCATTTATGACACTGTTTTCATGATGATTTGAAATATGGAATGATATAGAGACAGGTGATCCAAAAGTATCACTTTTGGCAATTTTACATATTTGTTGAACTGGAAAACATGTTTTCAAATCAAATCACACCTGTTTCCAGGATGTTGCTTACCTTTTTGTGATTTTCCCGACCATTACCGTCTTCTAAGGCTTAGATTCTAACTCTAAAAGGCAACCATGTATGAGCTGTTACAAATTTCCATATCCCTGCCAGATTTGTAAATATAGAGATAAGCATGATCATTGCAGTCAGTCTGGAATACTGTTCGGGTATCATAACAAATACAAATCTTACCCGTCTTCTACACTAATTTTCATATGTTCCAGTTTTGGTCCTGTCCTTTAACTGTTAAACCAGACTAGTCTCTCAGTACCAATATTTTACTGTTACCTGGTAAATAATTGTGTAAAGTACTATGAACTTGGGTAAAATTTTCACCGGTGGCTGCTCCACCAAAAAAGAGGACAATTACTCCTGTAACTGAAATAAGTAAGGGTCTGAAGTATTTGAACTCCCTGGGCATGTCCAGACAAGCATGCACGTGCAGTACGTGGCGCCGTGGACCCGTCTGCGGCACTGCACATACAGGCATTCCCTGTGCTGTTAACGTGCAGCGCAGAATTTTTTTTGACACTGGGAGATCCCAGTGTCAAAAAACCCAAGCCTAAAAAAAGCAGGACAGCACACGTGGCGGCAGTGTGCACGGTCCAAAACCGGAACCTGGCCAGCCAGAGCCACATGTCAACTACCAGCCAGGCTCCCTGCTGCCAGATTGCTGGGGCTGCAGCCCCTGGAGGCCCCCAGGACACCAGGTAAGTCTTCTGGGGCCAGCCCAGAGCATGCACAGGCGTCCCCTGGGGACAAGTAGCCGCAGCACACATTGTGCTGCTGCTTTTTATCCCTAGGGAAATGCATGTTCCCACTTGTGGAGATGTGCCCCCAGAGTTCAAATTCTGCCCCTTTCTTGTGTTGAAGGGGTTTTTGTTGTATGTGGCTCATGCAGGAAGAAAACCTTGCTACATGCAAAGACATAATCTGTAAGCAAGCATAGAATCCACAAAATAAGTGTTTCAGTCATGTTTGTTTTCCTTGCTGATGTCAGACACCACCAGAGTTGAAAGTAGATACTCTATATCCTTCCACGGCCTTCAGCATAGGGTCAAAAAGCCCGAGTCGTATCTTTTGCTCCACATTTCACAGTGGCCATCACCTTGTCATAGAAGGTATATTAGGCTTCGTTTGCTCGTGGCAAGCCCATTTAAACTGATGTTTATTGCTATCAGCCAGATACAGTTGTTTACAAATTAATTGTTATATGATATTCTGTAGTATATTTTAATGATCTAAAGTTAGTGACAGATCTTTAATTTTTTGGGTCTTTTTTTAAAGATGGGACTATGTTTTGCTCTTTTCCAGTCTGCTTGAACCACAGCTGACCTCCATGAGTTCTTGAAGATAATAGCCAGCCGTGTGGCAGTTACTTCAGCAAATCCCTTGCATACTCTTAAGACGGGGCGGGGGCGGGGATGCAACCTGCAGCATATGCGTCAGAGCTTGGCACGCAAAGACATTTTGCTTGGCATGCATGCTTTGGGGTGGACAGTAGGGGAGCTGCCAGGGGCCCGATCCTTGTTGTGGCATTCAGCTCTGGCCCCTTCCCCACTCTGCCTCATGGCATGCGTGCATCCCACACTGGCAACGAGCCAAGCTAGGGTTCTGTGGACCCTGGTGGGTGCAGCTGCTTGCAGCCTCTCCATTGTTTGCTGGAAGCAGCCTAGGCTCTGTGCAAGGCAGCAGGGGCCTGCGCAGAGCCCAGACTGGCTATGGCAGGTAGCTGGGCAGGCTGCAGGCAGCTGCACTGGGGTTTGCGGAGCCCCAGCCCAGCTCACTGCTCATAGTGGGTGCATGAGTGCCTCAGCGGACAGCAGGGAAGGGGCCAGGGCTGCACTGCCACAACATTGGACCCCTCATGGCTCCTCCACCATCTGCCACTGGTGTGCCAACGTCATACAGGTTGAGGTTTCAGGTGTTTTTGGCACCCTGCCCAAAAAAGGTTGCCAACCCCTGCTGTAGGATAAATCTCACCAAATGCTGCTCATTTGAAAACATCTATTTATATGAGTAATCTCTAACTTGTTCAGTGCTCCTAGGCTGAATGCTGTCTTCTCCTTAATGTTATTGTCATCTGATAGTTGACCTTTTTTAGTGAAGACTAAAGGGGAAAAAAGTATTTCACATGTTGGCCTTTTCTGTCTAATCCATTATCTTCCCTTTCTCATTCAGTAAACAACTTTACATAGATATCTAAGTAAGTTAATTATTTTTAAACAGAGTTTAAACTGAAGAAAGAAGAGGAAATCAGTAATATTAAAGTGCAGTATGAGAAGAATCTTAACACTGAAAGAACTCTTAAAACACAGGTAACTAATTTTCAGACATTAGTTTCTAATAAGTGGGGTTTTTATTTCAATTTGCATCCTAGGACAGCTTTCAAATTTTACTCTTTTTATATCATTTAATGATGATTTGTAAATCTCTTATTAAAGGAATAACATTTTTAGTTAAAAATAAAGCTTCTGAAGCCACAGAAAAGATTTACATCTCATGGAAGTGTTTTCATTTGTATAATTATAGTCTAGGAAATCTACACTTTGGAATGACACCTTTTAATTTGGATAAATATTTTATGTAAAAACATTTTTTCTAAAGTTGGAAATACTATGTTTCCTCTTACCCTTTTACTTTAAGTAGCTATTTGTTTCAGAGATATAATAATAATAGCATGTCCTTAGTTCCAGTCTCCAGCGCAGTGTCAAGGTGAAGTATGACAGATGGACTTATCACCCGAGTGATCAAAAATATTTTTCTTACTTTAGTTAGTATCGTATCAAGAGGACTTGTAATTTATGCCCTTTTTTAACATAATATTATTTGATTAACAGGCTGTCAACAAGTTGGCTGAAATAATGAATCGGAAAGATTTTAAAATAGATAGAAAAAAAGCTAACATGCAAGATTTGAGGAAAAAAGAGAAGGAAAACCGAAAGCTACAGTTGGACCTTAACCAAGAGAAAGAAAAATTCAATCAGATGGTAGTAAAATACCAAAAGGAGCTCAATGAAATGCAGGCGGTAAAATATTTCTTTTTTTTGTGTGATGGTTTATTATAATTTCTAAGGGAAATAAGTGCAAGGATATTACTCCTTCCTCCCCCCCTGTAACAGTTATGTTGCGGATACATGTACTAAAAAATTTCTGTCCATACTACTCTGGATATTTTGTAATACAGTCGAATCTACCCTGCAAACTATATTGTTGCAGCAGTTGTTATAGACTAGACCTGGTATCAGCCATTTTTAAGAGTAGGGGGAAATTGCCACATATAACATAAGTGATGTTCACAAGCTCATTAACAATAGTTTTATAGGTATGAATAAGTGTTTGCTAGCATGCAAATTTGCCTTCGTTGTCCATAACCTCAAACTACATGCTTGTTTCATTATAGTGGCTAAAGAAATGAGGCATTTAATTGATTTGTTTTAATGTTTGAACTGCTTTCTACGTACAGCAACAATTCATGAAATTAAGTCTTGGATTGTTGATCTCTTTCACCTGGCTTTTTAAAATCAGCATATATTTGTTTCAAAGAGAGTTACAGTTCTATGATATTGTACTTGTAATATTCCAAATGAATGTTAATGCTTTTGAATTAGTTCATATTTACCAAAAGTTTATACTTTATATTGTTCCCATCTTCTCTTTGTTATGGTTATTGTGTATTTGGAAATCCAGCAACTAGCAGAAGAGTCTACATATAGGAATGAGCTTCAGATGCAGCTGGATAGTAAAGAAAGTGATATAGAACAATTGCGTAGCAAAATTTTGGACCTCCAGCAAGGAATGGACTCTACTAGTGTTGCAAGCCTCCAGGCAGATGAAACTGATGGAAATGTTTCAGGTAGGAGGATTGTGAATTTGGATAATTTGGTTTTGTGCACACTGAAAACTGGGAATTCCCTCCCTCTCTCTTCCCCTCCCAAAAATTATCATGTTTTAAAAGGTACTTTTTGCCTTTTCTTTTGCATATGTTTTCTACCCATTTAAAAATATGTAGATAATTAATATTGGCAAAGGTATGTAATGCATTTTTAGCTATATGTTCTTGTGATTGAGCTGATGAAAACAAAGGAATAACATCATGATGTTAACCATTTCTCTGCAGACTACAGGCAAATAGATTTTGTGAAACTATAGATTTTGTTTTGTAAAATTAGTACAGTTAAAACCAAAGCAATTACAAACAATAAAGTCTGGTTGATTATTTTGCTGTATTTAAAAAAAAAAAAAAAATTATCTTCAAATGAGAGTGAGGGACTGCTTCCAGAACAGTATTTTAGATGGGCATGTAAGTTTTTAACTTGTATATCTGACCATACAAACTCAATTTCTGAACAGTATTAAAAACAAAATTAGATGTCACCTTTTCTAAAAATACCCTTTCAGATGACCAGGTCTCCACATAGCTATGTAGATACATTTCATGCTTAATATCGCCCTTGGATTCTAGGGGCCTCTACAGTCTTCCAGTGTCATGAGCATCCAGGTCTTTTTCAGGGCTATTTGTAATAGATTCTAGTTCTTAATTTACTCCATTTTTAAAAGTATTAGAAAGGAATTCAGAGAATTAAGCTTTATTTAGTTTTTTCAGCTTATTATTTGACACAAAGCCCTATTTGGTAGCATCTCCTATATGAAAAGTGTTAAGATTTTCAACCATGTTTACCTTCAGTGAACTCATTTTTACAAACTCTTGTACTCTTATGATTTACAGGCTTGAAGTTCTTCCTAAATTGGCTAATATACTAGTCAATTTGCCTAGAAAGCAGATTTTTTTCTCTTTTTTCCCCTCTAAGTCAGAATATCCAGTGGTTTTTATACTTGTTCCATCCTTGCAAATTCTGAGGCTATCAGAGCTGTCACTCATGGGTTGGCCATGAGCATAGAATCCATCATTACGTTTTCTTATCAGAAGTTCCTTCCTTTTCCGGATATCTACAAGTCATCTATAAAGTTCACAATATTAATTAGTCACTTTAGAGTCTTTTCCCTTCCTTTAGTATTATCTGTTGTCACTTAACACTTCATTTTTTATATTCCAGGCTTCTTTTATAGAACCAGCCTTCTTTACAGAATCATAGAAAATTTAGGGTTGGATGGGACTTCAGGAAGTCATCTAGTCCAATCTTGCGCTCAAAGCAGCACCATCCGTAACTAGATCATTTCAGCCAGGGCTTTGTTGAGCCAGGCCTTAACCTTCAAGGATGGAGATTCCACCACCTCTCTAGGTAACCCATTCCAGTGCTTCACTGTCCTCCTAGTGAGAGAGGCTTTTCCTAATGTCAACTAAACTTCCTTTGCTGCAACTTGAGACCATTTCTTCTTGTTCTGTTATCTGCCACCACTGAGAACAGTCAAGCACCATCCTCTTTGAAACAGTGCTTCATGTACTTGAAGGCTGCTATTAATTTCCCCCTCAGTCTTCTCTAGACTGCAGAAGCCCAGTTCCCTCATCCTTTCCTCATAAGTCATGTGTCCCAGCTCCCTAACTATTTTTGTTTCACTTACTGGACTTGCCAACTTGTCCACATCCTTGCTGTAATGGTGGGCCTAAAACTGGGCTTAGTACTCCAGATGTGGCCTCACCAGTGCAGAATAGAGGGGGATAATTACTTTCCTCAATCTGCTGGCAACACTCCTTCTAATGCAGGCTAGTATACTATTAGCCTTCTTGGCAACAAAGGCATGCTGTTAACCCATATCCAACTTATTGTCCACTGTACCCCCCAGGTCCTTTTCCACAGAGCTGCTGCTTAGCTAGTTGGTCCCAAGCCTGTACTGGTGCATGGTAGGGCTGTGCGAAACAGAAGTATTTCGTTTCAACCAGTGTTTCAACATTTTAACAGAACAGTGTTTCTTTTCGACTTTTGTTTAGAGTCAAAACGGCTGTTCCATTTCATTTCGTTTCGTCGAAACATTTGCTGTTTTGACCCTGTTTCAGTGTTTTGCCCGTAGGATATAATGGGGAAGGTCGAAACAGGCTATGACTTTGTCATTTCTGGCCCGATTTGGATGAAACTTGCAAGAAGGGTAGCCCCTTCTGAAGGCATGATGTGTGCCCAGTTTCAAGAAGATAGGTGCAGGGGGTTTGGGAGGAACTGCATCCCAAATTCTTGAAAGCAAAACTCATATTACGTGTATGTGTTAAGCCACAGTGGGATCAAAACTGCAGGGGTGGTGGCCCCTGCTGAGGCCACAAAGCCTGCCAAGTTTCAAGGAGATAAGTGCAGGGGTTTGGGAGGAACTGCACCTCAAGCTGCGGACAAGCAAAACTCGTGACATAGGTGACACTGTGTGTGACCCGTGCAGTTTTCACCCCACTGTGGTATAACACATACACATGACGTGAGTTTTGCTTTCAGGATTTTGGGGTATAGTTTCTCTGAACCCCCTGCACCTATTTCCTTCAAACGTGGCAGGCTTTGTGGCCTCAGCAGGGGCTAGCATTCCTGTAGTTTTGACCCTGCTGTGGCTTAACACAAGTTTGGCTCTCAAGATTTTGGGGAGCGGTTTCTCTGAATCCCCTGTACCTATCTTCTTGAAACTTGGCATGCTTTATGCCATCAGAAGGGGCTATTATTTCTGCAAGTTTTATCCAAATCTGTGTAGAAATGACCAAGTTATAGGCTGTTTTGACCTTCCTCATTATAGCCTATGGGCGAAATGTTGAAACAGCGTCGAAATGGCATCAAAACGGCGAAACGTTTCGACTTGCCTCATTTCGTTTTGAGGCTGTTTCAACCATATCTGTTTCGTTTCAATTTTGCTGTTTCAACCTTGAAAGAGATGGTCCTCTTCTCAGAAGGCATACTGTTACTGAAGTATCAAGTGGGCCAAGAAGGTGAAGTGGCCTTTAAAATTCACATAAAGCAATAAATAAAGCAATCTCTTAACAAGAGCTGTTTATTTCTCACTGATTGCCTTTCCCTGAACTAAAATATAAGAGTTACTGTCAGCCTAAGCCAAGGGGGCACAGTCAGTCCTGAACAATGTATCATTTGCCACTGTATTCATTACTGTCTCTACAGTGGACTTTGAACATTTTCAAGAGACCTGGTTTTCATTGTGATACTTAGGTGTAGATGCAGTTTGGACTGCCTTCACTGGTAATCACAATCCCCTCTACTTTTTTTTTTCTTCCCCTCAACCCCCTTCCCCTCCAAGGAGCAGAGATTCTTTGGAACATCTCTTGTTAATTTTGTTAGCTGCCACCTGCTTTTAACAAAGAAAAGCAGTGTATGGCCAAGACTCCATAGAAAAGATTAATTTTGGTTCAGAGAGGAATGGCATTTGAGGTGTTACGGTATGTGGCAGAGCAGTACTGTTTGGATGGTCACTCATCTGCTGCATGGAACCATGTCTTTATATTCCATAAGCTTATTAATCATCCAGATACTGGCTTCTGTGTCTGACCTTTCAGGCATATACCTCAAGCTTAATGTGAAGTCTACTGATCCAGCTACATCAGGCCCCAAAGCTAGTGCTGAGTGTCCAAAGATATGCATCTATACTCTCAAAAGCTCAACTTTTTGGAGAATCCCACTGTCATTTAACTTTCTGAGGACTATCCCAGGCATCTAGCCTTTGCAAAGGAATTCTTGAGCTATACTCACTTTATTTATAGGTAGAATGTAAGAGAGTTACTTTGAGTGGAAAAATAAGTGCTTTCATAAAAGATCCTGTCTTGGTTTCCTCATCTTTTCCAACAGTTCTGTGGGTTTTAGTTGGTGTTTCTCCAGGTTGTTTAGCATCTTAGTGCACTCCCACCAGTTCTGCCCATCTGTTCTGGTTCTGCTATGGTCTCTCCTTGTCTAGAAAACATCCACCACCTAACAGCAAATTCTAACATCTTTAATTCTTTCTGCCCTTTCATTGGATTTTTTCATTCTTAATTTTCCTGTGCGTGTTACAAGGGGTTATAGTTGCTAGCAAGTCAGTAGCTTTTGTCTGGTAGTCTTTGTCCTACCGCAGCCTGGCTCTGCCCTGCCCTAAGTATGGTTGTGTTACCCAGCATACAGTTGGATAAAACAAAAGCTTGGGTTGATGGTAGATGGCTGTTCAATGATACTGACCATTGTCTGCTTCACTGAAGATTTGTAAACCTCTTAGGAGTAGGTTAGCACTTGACACATATATTAAACGTCAAACTACCCATCGGATAAACGGAGGTAGCTACGCTATCCAAATTGTATCTTGGCACCTCATAATGAATGAAGAGCAGAGCTATGATACTCCTCAAGTGCCCTTATGAGACAGAGCTTTTGGCTTCATTTGTTTGTACAGTAAATCATTCCCAATAATCATGTCAGCGTACAAAATGTTCAATCTCAGACTTGTATATACCATACCATGTGGGTTGGACTATGATGCAAGCATTGCTAAGATCTCTCCATGCCTTAAATGTTTTCTTAATGGAGAGCACCTGTTTTCATCAGAGATCTGATTATGTTCTATTTATTAGGTTACATGTAGGGCAGGGTGGCACCTTAGGGTCTTGGTGGGTGTTACATGTATGCGATATATGGCCTGCAGGCCATATTTTGCCAAGCCCTGGTCTATGCCATACTTCATCCTGACAAGCTTATCTTTGGGATGAAGCATGGGGCAGCCTAGAGCCAGGATCATAGTCCCCACCTTCCCTTCCCCTGACGAGTCCTTGGGATTGGACGGGGGGGAGGGGCGGGCAGCCCTGTGACCCATTGCAATGCTCAATTGATTTGCAGGATTGGGATATAAAGGATTTTATGATCAATCTCAAGCGCTGCATCCTGCCATGAACATCTGCCATTGCTGAATGCATGATTTTTGGGATAGGGCATAAAATTCCTCAGATTCCAGTTGCACCATTATTTTAACATCTCCCAGGGGACTTAGACCTGACTGATACAGGAAGACATGAGCTTTTCTAGGCAAAAGCCAACTTCCTCAGATGCAGAAGGGTTTAAAATAAAACAGAATTTAAATACAAAGGTAAAAAACAAGGATGGTACTACTGAGAGGCAAAAGGTGGGTTGAAAAGAGTAGTAGGAATAAATAAGGCAGTCTGCACATTGCGGGAGTCCTCACATTTTTCTAACTACTTCTGTGATGATTGTTTTATTTTTTTAATACAACTATAATTATATAATTGTAAACTTTTTTGTTATTTGCAGTTGATGGAATCTAGACAGGTTTTTTTTTATGTTATCCAGTTCTAAATGTACTTAAATATACCAAGCAAGTATAGAACATCAAATAAATAGAGGTTTTAAAATCCATGATCAGTGTTTGGCAACAAAATGTTTAATGTCTGTGTGGCAAAGCTCAGTTCCTTTTTATGAATGCTCAAAACAATGGTATGTAGGATGCTTACAATGTGGGGAGAATACTTTAGCACAATATTCACCAAAAACTATCCTTTGGAAACGGAATAAAATGCTTATCTCTCATTCTTTATATCTAGTTGATTCTTCCTGCATTCCTTATTTATTTATCTTCTATTCTTATCTTCTGTGAGTAATGGGACACTTGTGTACCTTTGCTTGCTCTCCTGCACTCTCCCTTTTTTGTAAACTGTGGCTCTGGTTTGTTTCACTTGCTGCATCTTTCTGCTATTATCATCATATTGCTGCTCTGAGTGTTAAATCATTTTGTTAAGAATCTTTTAATCATTTTCCATTGAAGCTGCAACGTATTTTTCAAACGGAGGTCCTGCCTGGCTCTTTTTAAAAATTTTTTTTAATAGTGTTTAGAAGTTAGCATTATGGCAAACAGCTTTCCATTTTGTAATCGCTATATGGCCATAAAGTATTGTTTTTTGATGAAGCATGATAGAAATGCTTATTTCCTAGTTTTATTTAGTTGCGCTTTTTCTTCCCATTTTGCTGGTTTATTAGGTATTTGCCTATTGCTGCATGATTTTTTTAATATTAGTTTTCTCTATAATATATATATGTACACATAAAAATTATATGTATTTTTTTTAAACCAGAGTCGAGACTAGAGGGTTGGCTTTCGGTACCAAACAAGGGAAACATAAAGCGACATGGCTGGAAGAAGCAGGTATGAAAAGACTTTTTTTTGTTTTCATGTTTAGGAAAAAAAATGAGTAATTTAGTGTAAACACAGATTATTGCATTAAAAGAGCAAGAAGATTCTAAAATTTAGGTGTCATTCTGATACCTAGAGTTACATCATCATCTCTAAAATTATTCAGTTAGTTTTTTTACCTACTGACCCTCATGTGCTTATCCCAGTATGCTAACAATGTAATCATTGTAGTGAATGAAAATTTCATTACTTAAATGGGTTTTGGATTAGAATCTCAGGCTTCTTACAGACATGGAAAACCAACAGCACTTTCATTTCAGGTATCTGGAGGAAATGCAAGTTCCCTAAGGGGCTCTGCTTTTGAGCGCCTTAATATAATGTGATTTAACCAGGGTTAATTTTTCACATGATTGAACGTTTTCAAAGTATTCGGCAGCCATGCACATGTTATGACACGACTAGAGTGCTTTCAGGGTTCAGATCGCTCAAAAAATGTCACTTCTGTCTGCACCCTAAGTTAAACAGCTCTGTCCTGCATCTGTATTCTAGGAGAGACTTGCAGCCTTGTCAGCAAATGATGGATTCCTTTGTAGGGAATAATTCAGCGATACAGCAGTTTTCACAGCAGGAACTTAGTAGTAGTAACATGTATCTGAGGAAGTAATGTAGTCCATCCCCCTGCTCAAGGCAGGATCATCCCTGACTAAATTGTTTGAGGTTAGACAGAACACTTGTCTGGGATGGTTTAGTCAGGGATGATCCAGTCTTGAACAGGGAACTTTCCTGTGAATGTAAGTTGTGAGTAGTTTTCCCAAATAATTCCAGTACTAGGCAATTCTAGTCACTAATATAAAACCTCTATTTAGTTGGACTTAGTCTGTCTGTGTAGAAATAGAGTGAGGTAATGGTTAGCCTTATAGATTTTTAAAACTGTTATTCTTCCTTTCAGTACGTTGTAGTAAGCAGTAAAAAGATTTTGTTCTATAATGATGAAAAGGACAAGGACCAGTCCAATCCATCCATGGTACTAGATATAGAGTAAGTAATGCTGCTGTGTATTTGAGATAAAATCAGGAGATGAACTGTTTATATATAATGACTGATAGCAAATCTAGAAACTCAGAATCAAGATCCTATAAAGAATCTTGGATCTCCCGTTATGCAAGGCAGATGAGTATGAATTTTCAAAACTTCAAGCCCCAGGGAATGGTTTTGTTTCTGTTTTTTAAGTTTTAGACTTAAATGATTGTTTACTTTGTATTTGGATAAAATATAAATGAAGAAAAATAAATACAGGTTAATACAGTGGCAGTGTGATTAGCCATAGGTACACGTAATGCAGCCACACCATTCCACAGAGCTCAGAGAGAAGGGAATGTGTGCAGTGCACCATATCTTCATATGACAAGTATCCTCCCTGCTCAATGCCAGGCAGGTGTGCAGGGGAGGCTAAAGGGAAACTGAAGCCATGACCTGGACTTCTTGATCCTTTCCCCTTTGGGTTGACTTATGCTGTCTAGGTTGCAGTTCCCAAAATGGGTGAACTGCAGTTGTAAAGGTTAAGGATAAGGGTGTGCAGGGAATGGGGGATTGAGATTCTTTGCTTTAGGCTATATTAGATGTCCAACAGCTAGCAAGCACCCGTTGCCTTTCATGACTCCCTGGCATTTGCAGTTCACCAACTGGAAAAATGATAACTGCATTGCAGCTGAAATGTCTTTCAATTTAGAAGCTATCAAAAAGTAACAGAAGTGACTTAAGCTCCACAGCATTCCTTTTTAATTTAAGGGAGCTCTTCCATCTTCACAAGTAAATCTGTATATGCATATAGTATCTAGAATAAGATGGAGCTCCTCCCATATTAAAAAATATTTAGGTCTTGTTTGTGTAGACAGGTTCCTATACTATGTTACTAAAACCATTTTGTGGCCCTGACATGGAAGTATTTGCATGATTAAGGATTATTCATGTAAAGTCAGGGTAATAAGATTGAACCTTTAATCTGTATCTAGAGCAGTATGATAGGTTTTATAAACTAATGTAGTATTATCAGCATATTTGAGATCTGATTCTTATAATTTCAGTAAACTCTTCCATGTCCGACCTGTAACACAAGGAGATGTATATAGAGCAGAAACTGAGGAAATCCCTAAAATATTCCAGGTAAAAACTCCCTAATTTTAAATAGTATCAAGACCATTTGTGTGTCTTCTAAAAAGTCTGTCAAGTCTTATTGTGACCAGTATGTAAAGATAAACAGTGCTTCAGCAGTAGTTTGACATGACAACATCTCTCTCTTCAATGTTTTGCTAGATTTTGTACGCTAATGAGGGTGAATGCAGGAAAGAATTGGAAGTAGAATCAACGCAGCCAGCAGAAAAGACAAATTTTCTAAATCACAAAGGTCATGAATTTATTCCTACATTATACCACTTTCCAGCCAACTGTGAGGCCTGTGCCAAACCCCTCTGGCATGTTTTTAAGCCCCCTCCTGCACTGGAATGTCGAAGATGCCATGTTAAGTGCCATAAAGACCACTTAGATAAAAAGGAGGAATTAATTGCTCCATGCAAAGGTAAGTAATTAGACCTATTGTGTATTTTGAAAGTTCTTCTATGAATATTCTACCCATCTTCTTTAATCTACCAGCTGCAAAGAAAAATACATTATATTTAAAGTTAAAAAATCTAAACTGATTTAAGATACTAGCATATTTCCCTTAAAGGAAAGTTTGCTTTTGGCTCTGTAGAGGAGCATTACCACCTGCAGCAGAACTGCACCAGGAGTGAGATTTCACAGGACCGTGTGGAAGGATGGGCCATACAAAAGAATTGCTAGTGAGGTGCTCTGGTCCTCTGGTCTAACCTTGCAACCTTGTATATAGAATATTGTGGCAGGGGGCTGCTGCAGGGTCAGAGCTATTTACAGCACCCATAGAGTGGCTCTGCGTTCTGCAGAAGAAGACTGTCCCTCCATGCTTCTCCAAAGCAGTGCTAGTCTGTGCTCTAGCTATCCCCTTCAGTTCAGAATATTGGTGTTCTAGGACAGAAATGAGGATAAATTAAGTTGCTGTCCACACATTAATATTATTGTCAATGGATTTATGAAGGTATTTGGTTAATTTCTGCAGTTCCTCTGATAGTCGTCACATGTTTTTAAGAACATGTAACCCATTTCACTGTGAATAAGGCATGTAGATTCCATAATTCTCTCCTGAAATGTTATCATATTGCTATAAATTATTATGAGCAAGATTGTCTTGTTTTTATTGAATTTTCGTCTTCTCTGTTTTATAGTGAGTTACGATGTAACTTCAGCAAGGGATATGTTGCTATTGGCATCCTGTCAGGATGACCAGAAGAAGTGGGTAAATCATTTAGTAAAGAAAATCCCCAAGACACCACCAGCCAGTTTTGTCCGTTCTTCCCCTAGAACTATGTCTGCAAGATCCTCAGCAAATCAGTCATTCCGAAAAGCTGTTAAAAATACTTCTGGAAAAACTAGGTGAGAAATTAAGTATAGAAGTGATAGATTTTAATGCAAAAAATCTGTTTGTAAATGACATTATGGAAGGATTGGTTATAACTCCATGGTTAAAGTTGTGTTATACTAATGATTGAGGTCTTTGAGTCATGAAGGGGAAAACAGACACAACAGCTCAGGTTCTGTGATCCAATAGTCTATCTTTATGCTTAGCTGTACAGGAGGGATAACTAAGGTCTGGTCCAATTTGCTTTGAGCATACTGTAAGAATAAATAGCTGATCCTAGGCCATGAAGCAGTTTCCTGTGTTTGCTACTTCAACATCCCTAAACCTAACCCTAACCCTGGAAAAAAGAAAAGGGGGATCCTTCCAAGGACCTTTTATTTTTATCTATACCTTCCAACATCTGGTGTCCAGGGCATTCCCAGACCACAAGGAACAAGATCTAGATTGTGAGCCATGTATCTCGAAGGGAAATTGGAATACCGGCTTAAAGAAGAACTCCTGGGAAGATCCTGATGGGTCTGTCAGCTGGGGGGTCCGCCGAGGGAGCGCGGTGGTGGGACGGGGGGTGGGGGGGGGGGGGCAGGGGGTGGAGAAGGAGATTGGTTTTATGGAACCTCTTTAGGCTGACACTTCATAAAATTTTTCTTTTCATGTCTGTTTTCACGGCAACTCTAACCTTTGCCATGTAATATTAATGAATCTTAACATGGGAAAAGGTGTCAAGTGTTCAGAGTGCTAATGGCCTGTACACCTGGTAAGGCATTTGGTACTTGGAAAGATATTTAGACCCTTAGTTCTTCAAATTAAACATGATATCCAAAATGCAACTGCTTCAGAATTTGGAGCGCAAAAAGGCAGAAGCTTTTTAGGTCTAGCTGAAGAATCTCTGAGCTACTCTTGCAGATGATTCTCCCCCACAAAAAACCTTCCTTCTGGACAGCTCAGCCCCTCAGAAAAATAGAAAGCCATTTGAAAGACACTAAAGAGCACCAGCCTCCTTGTTCCAGGTGATTAAACCCACTATTGCCAAGATTATCAGTCATTTTTACTTATGCTGCAAAAGTCACAGCCACTGGAACTACGTAAGGGGAATGATGCCAAGAGAGTTCTGTGGCCACAGTTGTGGACAAGTAACAAAAGAAATGCTAACATGTATTGCTCCATTGCTGGCTGGACATGGTAGAACTGACAGGGGCAAATATTCAATATGTACTTTTGTTCTGTGCTTAGAAAAAAGACAGATTTATTCATATTTATCATATTATCTGATGATAAACATTTTCATATCCAGCAGTAATTAAGATGTTAAACTAGTTAAGTAGTTAATAAATATAAATGTTAAAGTCAGCAGGTCTAGATTATTTGCATCCAAAAATTCAGCATGAGGTGGTGACAGTTTTGTGGACTTTCTTTTGTGGATTTCTAGTAAGTCTTGAAATACTGGACAAATTGCAGAGGACTGGAAGAAAGCCATGCTAGAGATTTAAAAGGGTATCCAGGATAACCGGTATAATTTATATGCCTGTCTGCCTGAAGGTGATTTCAGCCAAAATAAGGGAGCAGCTGATGTGGTAGTCAATTGATAAGTATTAATAGAGTCCAATTGGAGTAATGCCAGTTGACATGGATTTGTGGAAATAAGTATTTTGTCAAATTAACTTGATATTTTTGAGGTTGCATTTTTGGCTTATAAAGGTAAATGTTGGTGTAATATACTTAAATTTATGTAAGACATTTTAGTTGGTACCATATGACATTTTGATTTAAGAAACTAGAACAGTAAAATCAATGTGGTAGGTACACTTTAAATGTATTAAACTGCTAATCGGGTCTCAAAATGTAATTGTACACTGATAATCATTGTCAATAAGGAATGTTTCTAATGGGGTTTCACAGAGATTGGTTCTTGGCCCACATGTTAAGTTACTTACCAGTGACCTAAAATAATGCAGTTGATGCACAGATCTGAGGACTGACAAGTAATGAAAAGGAAAGCTCACTGATCAAGGACAATCTGGTCTGCCTTGCAACATGGACAGACAACCAATATTTCAGTTTGGTCAAATATGAGGAGGAGGAGAATAGATGCCTACTGAGTGAGGGACTGCAACATGGGAAGCAGTGTTCAGAAAGGAGTTAGAGGTGTCATTGTAGTTAATCATGTTCAGATGAACAGGATCTCCCAGTGTGATGCTGTGACCAAAAGTTTTAACACTTGGTATTTCTAAAGGGTGGGAGAGGGGGCCCTTAGGGAGTAGAGAGGTGATATTTGGCACTCATGTGATTGTTACCAGAATATTGTGCCCAGTCCTGATGTTTGCAATTCAAGAAGGATGTTGAAGTATCTGAGGTGTTCAGAGAAAAGCCGGCTGGGTGGTGCCTGTGCAGCCCCCAGAGGGCATCTGCTGCCCTCGCTCCCACTCCGGCCCTGCTCCTGGGAGGTGGTGGTGCTCTGACCCCACCTGCCTGCACGTGCCCCCTAGGGCCTTCCCAAATACCCCCTTTACAACCCCTGGCTTAAGTGGTACTTGATTCTGCCTTCTTCCTCCTGTTGCTATGTAGAGGGGGCCCTGGAAAGGTTTTTCTACAGAAGCTGAGCATCCTTTTGCTGCTTACCTCTGCTACCATCCAGAAGAAGTAATTTCTCTTAGTTGTTAGAATTTTACTAGCTTTACTCTTCTTGTCAGGAGTAGAGTTTGTGGCAGGGGAGGGACTCAGAATCTCAAAAAATGTTAAGATGTCAGTTACACTATACTAAACAAATACTTTCTCCACATGCCCGTATCCTTACATGCCCCCTGTTGTTGCCAGGTATGGGGATATGGTGGAAGTGCAAAGCAAGAGGGGCGAGATCTGTAGGCAGATTAGTCTAATGAGCACATCTTGGACTCATCGTAATTTAGGCACTTGATGAACCTGGCATGGTATTCCAGAGACATGCTCCACTTTGACAAAATTTATCCTGTCTTTAGACTGGTAGGCTAGCAAGGAAATCTTATCTGGTCAGTATGATTCTGCAGGCATCAGCCTAGCAGCAGAGCTGGAAAGAGGTATATAAAGCAGGAGTTGGAATGTGTTTCCTTAGTGGAAACTCTCCCTGTGCCTGAAGAAAGGTGTTTGTACCCAAAAGCTTGCAAAGAACAAATTTTCCAACTACTCAGTTGGTTTAATAAAAGATACCACCTTTATCCAAAGAACCTTGTCTGCCTATGTCCTTAGACCAACACAGCTACAACCAACAACCGTTTCCGTGGCGGTGGTGTTCACACATTTGTCTTTGTATTTTTGGCACTTTGCTACCCCGTGACTTCTGCCTGTCAAACTGAGACAGTCTTCTGCATGCTACTGGAAATGTAGTGTGATTCTGTCACTTCTGTAGTTGTTGTGCCTCATGAGGTCCTGGAGTACAGACTTTCACCAAATTCCCCCTCTCCCTTTTCACTTGTCTCCCTCTCCTTTGTATGGTGTCAGATACCAACATCCAGATCTATAAGCTACTGTCTGGTATTATCACTCAATGTGCAGATTCCTTCTTCCCTGTCTGGGCATTTGTAAAGATTGCAGCTTTTGATTAAGTTCTGTGCTATTCGTTGGACACTGCATTCACACAGCGGGGTGTCCAAGATGTTCATCTTGTGAAGCGTTACTGTGAAGCTTCCATATACAGATCTCTGTTCAGTTTGACCTACACTTCTCTGTCAAGGTCATGCTCAGCAGGGGACTCATTTTGTGTTGGTATACAATGCTGTAGGAATAAATCTGACCTTTCCCAGCAGTCGGCCCACTCTGTTGCTGCCAGGTGGAAGAGTGGTGATACTGATTTATTGATGCTCAACATTAATCATCACTTGTGGAGATAGTCAGTGATGAAGAGTTCCATGTTGGAACTTAGTATCTTTTCCAGTTCTGTCATATCGTTTCCTTGGGCTGCTATGGCAATGTAGTCAGCATACATGTATCACTTGGATGTTGTATGGGGAAGTCAGAGGTATGTACATTGAAAAATACTGGTGCTAGCACTGGGCCTGGAAGGCTCCAGTTCTTCAGAGTTTGTACTCTTCTTTTTACTCCTTGGTTAGAAGTGAGTTTGAATGATCTGCTGGAAATTGTTTATGATGAAAGTGCATTGCTTGCAGTCAGGTGGTATAGAGACTGCCATAGTTGGGGCCTTGGTGCCATACAGTTTCATAGGCAGCTGTAAGGTCAGTAAAGGCTGTGCTTGTTTTCTGCCTCATTTCAAATCTGTTTTCTATGTCAAATGTAAGTAATGTAACTTGGTCAGTGGTACACCACTTTTTCCTGAAAGCCAGCTTGTTCTTTTGAGAGCTGGGGATCAAAGATGTTCTCTATTTTATTCAGGATTATGCACTCCATGAGTTTGTATGTAATGAATAGTGAGATGGGTTGGTAGCTCTTTGGATCTTCTGGTGCTCTATGGGGTTTCATGGTAGCAGTGATATCAGCTTTTCTCAAAAAGTTTGGAAGTCTGTTACTTTCTAGACATTAATGCATGAATTTCTGAAGCTATCTTTTCATTGTGGTTCTGAGTTTAGTAATGAGTTCTGGGAATATCTTATTTTGTCCAGCAGCCTTACCAATCTTGATCACTTTAATAACTGCATCAAACTCATTTTCAGAGATAGGAGCAGTTAAATTAAGGTTGGCATAGGGCGATTTAAGTTGTTCATGAGTCAGATATCTAAACATTTCTGTGTGTTTGCTTGGGGCGCTGTACTTGCTGTTGTTGCACAGTATTTTCATGATGGAGTTTGTTTCAGGGCAATGTTGTATTTGGTGCCTTTGACTATAAGGCAGTTAATGATGCACCATCCTTGTCTGCCTGTGTGGGTCATATCCAATCCTATGGTATTCATCTCTCCTTTGATATTGTGCAGTGTGGTAGCCAGCTGTTTTGTAATTCTTTTTACAGTTGTAGGGTCATTGTGTTGTTGATGTTAAGGAGCTGTTCGCACTGCTTGTCCCAGCATGGCACACGGTGTCTTCTATAGTCTCTAGGTTCACAGAGTTTGACTATTTCAATTAGGCAGTATGTAGGTATATTGTAGCCTTGATCAGTGTTGGTTTGTGATGGATACTTTAACGCAGCGCTTCTCAAAGTGGTGGTTTGCAGACCAGTGCCAGTCCGCGAGCCACCGGTTGCCGGTCCGCAGTGAGTTGCCAGGAAAGAAAGAAATATATTTTCAGAAGCATAACATTGATGTGTCATAGCGCCACAGTTTGTACGTTCCAGCACTCCAGGTGACGTCACGTCGTGTGAGGTGAGGAAAGAGAGAGAGACAGCCGGTCATGCATTTGTGTAGCACTGTTGCACGCAGTTGCTGCCACCGGCTGAACCGGGCACCGGTCCCTTGTCCACTGGAAAAAAAAAATGCCGGTCCGCCACATTGGATAGTTCGAGAAGCACTGCTTTAATGAGTTTGCACTCTCATTGGTCTGCCTCTGGTATTTCTGCCAATCTGCTTTCCAAAAGTTCCATCTTGGAGCTGGTTTGGATAGTGTGGGCTGAAAAATCATTGTCAATGCTAGTGAGTGAGGGTCTGTGCTGAGATGATGAAAACTTGTCAAGTTTTTTTTTTTTCTTATTGGTGTTTTACTTGAGTTGCCCTTTCACCAGGCAAGATCTGGGTTTGTCTGAATGTTCCAGCATCCAGAGTGGAAGCTACATAGTCCTTTGGGTCATATACAAGGGATATATTGTTCAGGCTTACCTAGAGACAAAGATTGTCCCCATTACTACTGCTGATAGGGTACCCTGAATCTTGATGTTGACAATTGAAGTCACCTGCATGTAAGGTAATGTGATTGTAAGTAGGTGGGGATGTGATTGAGAACGTGGCAGGGGATGGCTTGTATATACTGCCGAAAATTGTCATTGACCTGGACAGTGTCCTGTTCTGTTGCACTTTGGGAAGTGTTATGTCCCTTGATAGTGTATGGCAGGTCATTTCTGATTAAGGTAGCAAGGCTGCGGATCCTGCTGGCTACAGAGTCTGCAAGGCTGTCGCCTGACAGCTTCATCTTCCACAGCTGTTCTGTATATGTTTCTTATAGACGGTTTCTGCATATGGTTTCATTTCTCTGGTGATGTGTCCCAGCACTGATTGCTTGAGCGAGGCATAGCCTGAACTGTCAAGCTTTTCCTTCATCATAGGAGAGGTTGCTCTGGCTCATCCTGTAATTAGTGTATCAAAATTGGAAAGTATAGTGTATCAAAATTGAAAAAAATCAGAAGTCAAATTGCCTTAGTAACTTGGTTTCACTTTATGGCTACTTCTGAGAGGTACCACAAAAGGTCGTCACTGTTGTCCCCACCAGATCCTAAATATGCCCTGAGTACATGCTTGGTAAAACCTGCAAGTGCTTCAGCTCTAGACTTTTGCACAAGATCATTCCAGCTGGTCCAGCCAGCATGCTTCCTTCAGGGCAACCCAGGCCTTCTGCCTCTTACCCGTTCCACAATAAGGTGCTGGGTATGCATCCAAAACCCGTATACATCACTAACAGGACTTGTTTTGGTTTCGGTGGGTTTTGAATCAGGCCTTTAGGACTCTTCCAACTACTATGAAATATTCCCCTTCTGGCAACTTCTAATTCTTCTCTTCATAAGGAGCAGTAGCAGAGTCCTCATACTGCATTCAGTTGCTTAGACTAATTGGCAATATTCATTGCATTACCTTGTAATTACGATTCTTCTGAGGTACTGTAACACAAAACTCTTGCTCTCCCAGTCACTTAGGCAAAAGTTCTTTCTAAACTGGTATGTTGCTTTTAGAATGAGTGCAGGGCTTAACAACCTTTTATCAACACACCGAGTTGCAAGCAGCAGCCTTCCAGTTGCAGACCTCAAATCTCCACATCTTCCAACACACAGCAGATGCTGTGGAGTGAATAGATGGAAAAAGACAGGTAGAGGTCTCCTCTGCTGCTCTGGTTAAAGCATGTTGTAGATTTCCTGAGCTGCCACAAGTTGTATCCGGTCTATTCCGGGACCAGGTCTGTCCTGTGGGCTGTAGGTTGCCAGTGTCTGACTTAATTCTTTCACTTGAAGCAATCCTTTTATATAATGAGTTTTGGAGAATTCACATCTGTGGTTTTGTCCTTTTTTTGTCTATTTTTTGTAGCATTTGTAATGGAGATCTCCCATTCTTAAATGCGAAGAAGGCTATTACTAAAAGGAAGGCTTTCTTTTTCTTTTTTTTAATCTTTGGAATGTGTTCTTGTCTTCTCTTGAAAGGAGAAAAGGAATTATTTAATAACTATGTGTATGCAAACAGGCTTTATTCTAAAGCTGATGTTTTTACTACTGTGGATAATCATTTGAAATACAAAATGACTAGAATATCACAATTCCTATTGTGACAATTACTGTGCTAGAACATTGCTGCTTTTCTGTTTTGCAGTATTCCTTGCACAGTGTCAGTTTCCTTTTGTGCTTTTGTAAAACTAGTAAGTACTTTTTTATTTTATTTTCATATTTTTAGTATTGTTTTTTTATTTCAGTCTTAGAGGCTGCTTGAACTCCATCTCAAGTATGCCCTACTTTCCTCTTCTGGTTGCAGGGGCTTCTGTCCACTGTTACTATTTGATTATTTTTAACAATTTAGTAATGTAACTTACTTTCAGTTATGGCAAATTATTCAAAGTGGCCTTCATGTTGTATATTCTTTGGTTATAGAAATCCAGTGCCTCCTCATGGGCTCTCTTATTGTCTTCTGCTTATTTTGTGTCTCACTTTTGGTTCTACTTTTTCAAGGCTTTTTTTTTTTTTTTAACATAAAAGAGAGAGAAAACCCTAGAATAGTGCCATATTAGGCAAAACAGCTCTGGTATTCAAGTCTTTCATAGCTGTCAACCTTCTTGTTGGAAGAACAGACAGATTTTGTTTTTTCACTCGGTTCCTGCATCCTTTTAAATTAGTTATTTGGCTTCTAAGATTCTTCTTCATCTCAAGATCTTAAATTTTCCTAGGCATCTTTTCAGGTTACTTCAGAGAGACAGAAATTTTTCATTCAGACACTTGAAAATCATAGGAAGAAATGCACTTCTTCTCCTCATGCAGTTTTAATCTTACTCACTCATAGATTTTGACCTGTGTCCTGGCTTTAGCTAGCGTGGGCAGACAATTTTACTTTCCTTAAACCACCACCTTATTTAAACGCTCAGCACTTGGTGCATCTGAAATTTTTCTTGAAATATTCATTTCTACATTTCAATAGGTCAAAGGAGTGTGGATCTGTGGGGGAGATTACCCATTCAGAGAACTCCAGTTACTGGTGAGTAACCTTCCCTTTTAACCAACTGGTGATTGTCACATGACAGTAGTAAGCAATTCCAGAGTCATTCTCTTCCATCCCTGAACATGGGACTTCATTAGTATTAGGGGAAAAAAGTATTACCCCTATAGATAGTTTTCTAAAATATTTTTTCTTTTTGTCGGTCTCTGCTTTATTTCAGAGCTTCTGCCCAAAACCTCTTCTAGCTCCTCTAATACTAGTCTTCCTGCTACTGCTGTTCAGAAATAGTTTTTATATATGTATGCTAACAATTTAGGATCTGGATTTCTATTAATACAGAATCTTCCAGGCTAATGGGCATTAAACCTTTAATGTCAACATATTCCCTCCAGACCCTGTTCTTGAATCCTGAAGTGAAGGTGTATTTAGGGTCAGCAGAGAAAGCTGTCCGTAGAAATTTCAGTTCCTTGCGTCATAAGATTAATATGGATTTATTTTATTTAATCACTATTAATTAAAACACACTCTGTTTTAACTGCCACATGCTATAAATGCTGAGTGCATATTGTGGGAGGGAAAATGTTTATAGGGCAGAACCACTGCTTGGGATGCTCTTATATAGTGAGACTACTAGAAGTGTCCAGGGGAACGGGTGACAGAATTGCTACAGGCATACAGAACCATCAGCTGGAATTGAAAAATGACACACTTGGGGGGAGTTGTTCTTTGTTTTGTTTTTCTTTTTTACTTGGTAGAACTTGCTTCCATATGATTTTTGAGGCCAAGAGCATATTAAGACTCCAAAAATAATCTTATCTGTTCCCTGTTCTCCCTCTTTTCTCCTCCCCCTTCCCCTTTGCCCCTCCAAAAACAAAATTGTTGTTCACTTTGAGCTGTAGAGGAAAGGATGAGGAAAGATGATAGTACTCTTAGTGTTTACCTGGTATCTGATAATTGCTATGTTCTTAAAAGATATTAGTGTAGTACAACTGAATTGTAGGGGATGAAACACCACCATGCTGTAGTTTTGTAACACACAGGAACACGTGCTTAACTTCTAAACATGCAAGCACATCCCTCTAAAGCCATCTTGTTTCCCTAGTGGATGCCGAGTCAGGCCTTCAAGCACTTTAAATGCTTTGATAGATAAAGCATTTTTTTCAATTCTGTAAATTTAGACATGTGAATAGATGTTTTTGTGTGGTCTAATCTAGCTCCGCTGAAGTTTCCACCAATTTTTCACTGTGTTGTATCAGGCCTAGTAAGGGCCTCACACGTATGGCCGGACACATGGTTGTGGGACAGCATTAGATGCAAGCATGCCCTATTGCCAGGCTGGGATTGCAATCCTAGTCTCCCCCCTTCACCAGCAAGTAGCAAGCTCCTGTGGCTCTGGACCCTGGGGCTGATGGGGCTGGGAGCAGTGTCAGCTGATGGGGCTTCCAGTCACTGTGGCCACTTGTTCAATTAATGGTGTGATAAGAACAAGCAATAAAGTTATTCCACATTTTTTGTTTTATCATGTTCCTTGTTTTATTACACCTTTAATGGATTGAACAAGTTGCTGAGTTGCGAAGAAGTTTAATCACTTCTTAAGTGTAATGTGTAGATAGGGATCTAAGAGTAACTCTATAAATAAATTCACTTAGTACTTCTCATTTAATCTATTTATTACTTTTAAATAAAAACTAGGACTACATGATGACTTTACTATCTGTAGTAGTGCTGTTTCGAGACCTGAAGTTGTCTTGCTTTTATAATGCCTTCTGTTTTTACAGAGTATTTTATCTGCAGGGTTGCTGTAGAATCTGTTTTTGTATTTATTTGACCGATCTAGTTTATAATTGGCAGGGAAGTGTGGAAGATTAATCAAGTTAGTATAAAAGTTAGTACAGCAAATAGGCTTTATGTCAGGGGTGAGCAAAACACAGACTGCGGGCCAGATGTAGCTCGCGGGGTCCCTAAAAAAATTTGGAAAATTAATATTTCTCTGCCCTTGGTTCCTGCCAAAAATGACACTGCTTGGGATGCTCAAAAATGACAGGAACCAAGGGCAGTAGGACCCAGGGGAAGCCCAGCAGGCTCCAACAACAGTGCGGTGCACCCGGCCCCGTTCCCCGGCTGGAAGCCCCTGTTTGGGTTTCTGGGCTGGGAGCACGTGGCTGCCCCAGCATGGGAAGCTCAGGTAAGTGGTGGGGGGGGATGGGGACCCTAGGCAGGGAAGGAGCACGGGGTAGGGGGGAAGCGGCCCCTCCCCACCTGCGCCCAGTGCCCTGCGCTGCAGCTGTTTGAAGCCTGCATGGGGCTGCCTGCGCTCTGGACAGCCCCATGCAGGCTGAGAGCACCTGCAGCATGGGGCACCGGGTGTGGGGCAGGTGAGGGGTCACTTTTCCCCACGCTCAGCACCAGCTTCTTCCCTGCTGGCGAGCAGGGGGTTAGGGCTGTGCGCTGCCCCCCCACCTGTGCTGGGGGGCACTGGGTATGAGCAGGCAGGGAGCCTGTGGGAGCATAGGGCCCGCACCGGTGTCCCGGGTCCAGAGCAGGGTGGCAGAAGTGCGGGGTCCCAGCCGACAGGGGCTCTGTGGAGCTGGGTCAGCTCCCCCCTCCCTGCTGGTGCAGCCCAGGCCGGCTCCACAATCCCCTGCCAGCCTGGGCCCCGCTTTGGGCCCCACCGGTGCTGGCCCAGGGACATTGGTCCCAAGACATTGGGACATTGGTCCCAAGATGGTGACCAGGGGCGGGGCACCTATCAAGGGGCGGGGCTACCCATGCAGCCCTCGACAGCCTACCAAAACTGGGTAAGCAGCCCTCTGCTCAAAATAATTGCCCACATCTGCTTTATGTTATGTCAGACAAAGTTCACTGTTCATTTTGGTAGTTTAAATTCAGTACTTTTATATGTCTTGTGATATTCTTTTCTTCTAATTAACGTGGAATTGGAGCTTGCAAATTCCAAAGTTGCTAGTTCTACTGCATTAACGTAGTATTGACCTTGTATTTCATCTCAGTATGATTTTGAAACGTTATAGAAATGCCTGACACTTGTTCATAACCACTTAACTTAATTTATGGTGATGGAAATTAGTTTTCACATACTAAAATTATCAGAAAATTTTCACTTTTAATTTTATATCAAATTATATGCATTTTTACTTTTCAAATGATTAAGTGGGCTTATAGCATTATAATAAGACATATTTAAGTTATTAAATGTTGCTATTTGGAATACAAGTACTTATTTATTCATGTTATCTCTTCAGTTAACATTAATTAGAGGCATCTAATGCAATTTTTTCATTAATTGTATTTTTTCTTAATTTCAGCTAACCACCTGTACAGTACTTAATGAAACTTCATGGAATGCAGTCTGAAAAACAGGACTCTTTTAAACACACCAAGCAGTGCAGAGAGGCTGTTTGTTCCTTTCAACACAACTATCACAGGCTTCAGGGTTAAGATTGCTGTTACTGTCTCCTTGCTTCGGCACAAAAAGCACGCTGAGGGTGTTTTATTGCGGGTTTGCCTAAAGATAGATTAGATTAATTATTACTATGTAATGCAAGTTAAAGCAAATAAAGCTTAGCTAGGTGTATGAAAAAGGTGCTGCCTTTTTGGATTTCTAAAAATGCCTATCAATCATAATAAAATGCAGTCTGCTTTCCTTGTATCAACAACAACAAAAAAAAGAACTATACCCTGTGGAGGGGATATTTATATCAAAATGAGCACATAAACTTGAGTAGAGAAGAAAAATATCTCAAAATGAGATGGACTGAAATTTCTTTGACTCAAAAGTTGTGCTTTCAAAGACTGCATATCAAGTTTAAAAATGAAGCTGTATAATCACTTGAACTTCAGTGCCTTCACTGCGGAGTTCTTAACAGCCTTAATGCTAATCGCCCATAATGGAACAGATCAAAGTGTTAAATATTTTGCATTATGCTTTATAAAATACTGATTCAGCAAGTTTGTAAAGGGCGGGTGGGGAGGGTAACAGATAATTGCATTTAATCTATGCATTTTTGCCAAGCCATACTGAATTATTTTAGTATTAGAAACTAACAGTACAAAAAAACCAAGTTTGGAAGCATATTTTGGGGTACATTCATTTCTATAATTGTGTAATGTATTGCCTTTACAATTTTAAGTGATAACATATATTAAGTTAACAAACATTTAAGAAATGTATGCACTGTTTGAAATGTAAATTATTCATAGAACACTTTTAATGGGTGTTGCGTTGTCCTTTTAGTGCCTTAATTTGAGATAATTGTATTATTGCCATGTCGATAAGTGTAGAATCTCAACAATTTATTATGCATCAGTGGTTTTTACTGAACTTTAATTGGTTAAAGTATTGTAGATGCTAGATGCATTTCCTAAATTGAATATAATCTTTGAATGAAAACTCCTGTTACAAAGAAAGATTTCTCATTTAAAAAGCAAGAGGTCTGCAGAAAATGTAGGCAAAAATATGCAACACAGCAACAAAATAGTACACATATGGCCCTTTAAAAACTCCACTGATAATTCAGGAATTACAGTATAAGTGCCGTCAAACACTTGCTTTGTAGCAGGAATACATTCATGGTATGAGCAGTATGGTTTTATTTTTATTTTATTTTTTAACCAAATACCTCCTCAGTAATTTATAATGGCTTTGCAGTTGTGTATTAAATAAGCACTGGAAAACTGATTCGTCCTCAGGACGATTTGCATGTTTCAAGTGGTATTGAAAGCCGCACTGATGGATATGTAATAATAAACATATCTGTTATTAATATGGTAATGACTCTCTGCTCATTTAATGAGAAATAAAAGTAATTTATGGAAGGACCCTTTTAAAAATGACTAGCATGGTGTTTTCTCATGACTTCAAGTTTACATTTTTTGTGAGCGCACAGAAAATTTGGTATGAAAATTTTGTAACGGATTATACAAGTATCCATCAAAACATGTATAATTCATGCAATGTTTACATTTTCTATTAGTTTAAAATGGTTGTGTTTGTTTGAATTACTTGCAAGGTACAGTTTGCATTTGTAACTGTGCTTATGGGACTCGGAAGAATTTTTTGTTATGCTACATAAATTAATAAATGCTTGATGTTTCACCCCCTTGTCCTCAAAAAAGGGTGTGTGGTGCATACCATGCTCCGCAACTGCAGTTGAAACAGTGCCAGTGAAACAGCAAATCAGTAGTCGACCAGGGTCTGAAAACAGTAGTGTACCCACTGTGATTACCATAGCCACCTATGTTTTGGGGAAGGGAAGATAACAGGTGCAATCATTCTATCATCAATGGCCATCATACAATTTAGAAAATCCAACTAAAGAGGTTGTGTTAGAGACATTAGATTATTTTCAAACCTGCGAGTGAATTGTATTAATTATTGCTTTACAGACTTCTGTAACTACAGCACCATCCATTGACTTGATAGCACTAACCTCATTTGCAAATGACTTGTGACAATCTGAGGTATTCATCTTCCCAAAGGTATGATGGTTGAGGATGAGAGGATACAAAGGGTAGGGCAGGGGTGGGCAAAATGTGGCTCCTGGGCCGCATGCGGCCCACCAGGCCATTCTATCTGGCCTGCAGGGCCCCTAAAAATTTTAGAAAATTAATATTTATCTGCCCCTGGCTGCCTGTAATGTGGTCCTCGGCTTGCCAAAACTCAGCAAGCGGCCCTCTGCCCAAAGTAATTGCCCGCCTCTGGTAGCGGATGGATTGGGAAAAGCATGAAGTATAAATGGATGGTAATGTTGGTTTAATTCGAAATAAATTTAATTCACTTATCCACAAAACTAGATTAATCTGTTTCTATAATTGGTTAAGCCCAGAGAAATGCATTTGAAATTTTTTAATTAAGGTGTTTCTTTCCACTCCAAACTCCTCGCTTCTCCCCCCCTTAATCTTCACTGGTAGACAGTAAAATAAATTGTTTCAAATTTAGATTTACTGTACTTTAAATATATGTGAATTATGAAGGGGACTTGAAGGATTTTTTTCTTCCACAAACCTATGGTCAGATTATTTTAATGGGTTGCATTTGCTTCACACATTAGATTATGTTGAACTGATTTTTGTACCTGAGGCTCAAACTGCTCGATCATTCCTTTTTGCAGCAACAATGCCATAACTTATAGTAGCAGCCTGATGGCATGAAGAAGATTTAGAGCAAAATGCTATGAGTGATTTTTGGAATAGGAGAAGAATGTGAAGCACCGGACATGCTTTATAGAATGTTAAAACACTTTGGAAATGTTAATATATACCTGTGCTAAAAATTGTAAATGCCTTCCTAAATGCTGCTTTTTGCTTGAAGAGAATGAGACTCGAGAGTAAAATTATATTAATTTGTATGTCTGTGGTATGTTGCACCTAAATATTAAAGTCTAGACACATGTTACAATTTGGGTGGGTTAGTGTAAAGAAAGCAGTTGTGGAATCTCTTTCATTGGAGATTAAGAGGAAGCTATATAAGCGTATATTTGGAATTAGTAAATCCTGCATCTGTACAGGGGGTTGGATTAAATGACCCTTAAGAGTCCTGTCTAATCCTATGATTCTGTGTTGGTAACTACTTACTGTAGGTGTGGTGTATATGTACAGGAACCCTAGCATTTAAAAAAACAAATCCAGCTAAAGAATTCTGATGACAAGGAATCTTCATCTGGACTCTGCAGTGGTGTGACAGGCCCTTTGCAGGAGAAGGGTGGGATTTTGAATATTTTAAAACGGCTTTTTCTATTCTGTTCTTCCTTCTCCCTCCTTTTTTGTGTTCTCTGCACCTCCCATTCAGATATCCTTCCTGCTAATGATGAAAGCTATAACAGAATTTTTAAAGAAACTAGGCTCCATTGACGTGCATCTAGCAAATATGTTGGCTGTCATGGAAGTCGCATCTCTATACGCTAGCCTCCCCTATGAGGATGGATCACGAGCCATACAGAACAGTATTCCTGGCAGTGGTGCTGCTTGTTTCCAACACACTCTTCCACTTTGTCTTCACACACAACTGTATTTCAGGTTTGGGGATTCCCTGTACCTACAGACAAATGGCACTGCCATGGACATGCATATGCCCCCACCCCCCTATGCCAGTGTATTTACAACAGAATTAAAATTTCATGCCTCCTTTGCTGCCCTCATCTCTGTGGTCTACTCAAAATGCATCAGTGAGATCCCCATTGTATGGACATATGGGAAGGAATCTCCCTAGAAATTCCACCAAGGTCCAGTCCTCCATGAAACTGACTCTGGAATACTCCACCCAACAAATTCATTTTCTACATACCATGGTGAAAATTTGCAATGGCCGGGTTAGCATCGCATTGTATCAGAAACCTACAGACTGCCACAGCTACCTGCACACAAACAGCTTTCAGCCTAAGCATACCACTAGATCCATTATGTACAGCCAGGCTCTATGTTGTAGCTGAATCTGCTCTGATCCCACTGACTAGGATGCACACCTTGAGGATCTAGAACAGGGCTTCTTACATGTTTACAATACAATGCCTAAATCATATCCACTCCAGTCAACACAGCCAGATTTGGACCCCGTTCCAACCTGCTACAATGACAGCTCTGAGATGAGGACAACAGAATCCCTCTGGTTGTCACCCATATTCCCGCAACTAGAATATTTTAGACACGTTAGCAATCACCACCCTCTTCTGGAAAATGGCCATCTCATGGTAGCCATGGGGAGCAAACAGACCAGCCCCCCAGTATCAAGTGTCATTTCTCAAGCAATAGGCTACTTAATTCCTATTTTCACTGAGGCACCAGGACTCGCAACAGACCCAGATGCAAGCTGTGCCCCCTCAACACAGATCACATCCTCACTCGACCAAATAACATGGATTATATAAAGTCTGTTTTTAATTTCCCTGCAACTCTACCGACATTGTATAGTGTTCTCACCTGCTTACAATGTCCCTCTGTTGTCTACATTGGATGGACAGGACAATCCTTATGTAAAAGAATGAAGGGACGCCAACCTGACATCAAGTTAAAAAAAAAACAAACCATCCCACAAAGTGTGGCAGAAAACTTTCCTGGATGTTCCATCACTGATCTGAGAGTAGCTATTTTTAAACAGTGGAACTTTAAAAGCCAACTTTGAATTCGAAACTGCAGAACAAGAGCCATGTACAGACTGGTTTGTGTTAAGTATGGTCTAAACAGGGACTGTGAATTCTTACCCCATTACCTGGACCTTTATGTACTTCTGTGTTTATTACTTGTTTGCTCCTCCCCTTCCTTGTCTTGGTATTCGAACAGCTTTCTATTTGATAGCCTGCTCTATGCATGTCTCTTTGTAGCTTGTAATGAAGTGAACTCTTAATCATGAAAGCTTATGCATCTCTGATAAGTTGGTCTGTAGCAGGGGTGTCAAACAAGCCCTGTTGGGCATCTCTTTCTGGCCAGCTCAGCTATTGGTAGGCCACTGGAAGTTGGAAGCCATAACCTGCTGTAGAATTTGGGGCCTTTTTGCTCTGCTGGACATGGCTGTTGGAGATGAGCTTGAATTGCTGCTGTCTGAACTTGCTTCCTTAAATGCACTGCTCTTGTGGTGGCCAGTGCAGCAGACCTTGAACCACAGGATCGATCTGACCCACAAGGAGCCCTGGGGTCTTGATGTGGCCCAGGAGGACCCCATGTGAGTTTGACAGCCCCGCTCTATAAGGCACAGCTCTATCTTGCCATCTGCCTGACTTCAGAATAACATGGCTAACTACCTGTCTGCTAGCAGCGACCTGTGGGAGACATCACATCACAAAATAGTGGGAGGAGTCACCTATAGAGAAAGGAGTGTGTGTAGGGGGGAATCTTTCCTAGACTGGTCAGCTTTTTATCATTGAAAAGTAGGGACAAGGCTACCATAGGCTGAGGGCCAGTTTGTTAACAAGGGCCTGTTGCTGCCTAGTGGTAAAGACTTGTCTATTCCCCCTTTCTGCCCCTCCCCACCATCAGATTATCAAACACTCCTTGCTAAAGTAAAAATTAGTAATAGCCTTTTCCAGAAGTGGGTGAAATACAGACAAGGGGGAGGAACCGGTGCTTTTCACATGGTCAATTTTGCAGAGGCCTTCCTGCAGGTTGGGTAGCAGAGCAGGAAGAAAATGAGAAAATCATCCTCTCTGTTGGAGAATGGGCAGTTGCTGAAATGTTTGTTTAACAGATTTCTGCGCACCCCCCCCCCCTCTGCCCCCAACTCTTCTAAGAAGGGACTGAGAAGTTGTGTGAAGGCAGGAGTGCATATTTGGGTTTCAGGTTGTCTCAGACGCTGGGGATTTTTGGTAGTCCCTGGACTTAATGTGTTTGGCTGAATCACTTCTCATGGATAGATGCTTTTGGACGTTCAGAAACCACTTGAGGTAAGCAAATGTGCCCTCCAGAAACCACTCAAGGTAAGCAGCTTGGTTATTCCTTTCTAACTGCTCTCAGCAGGA